TGCACTGCAATACAATGCGATGCGAGGGCGTGGTAACTCCGCCCTCGACCCAGTCGTTTCTTCCAGGAATCTCGTATCTCCTTTCTGGTGCTTCCCGAAAAGGTGCCACTGCATTTGGAATGGATGTCAGGACCCAATCGCGCCATCGAGCTGTTCAGTGTGTGGCCTCGAGCTCCATGTCGAGCGAGATTCTTCGGACGCCGATGGATTCCGCCTTTCGACCTGGTCTGAACTACGTGGAGTTCCTAGCGCTCCGTGAGCTCTTCCAGGATTCTTGCAGTAAACCGCCTGCTCGAGAATTCATTCCCGCTGCGAAGCAGTGATTGTAAACAACTGTGCCAAGAATCAATTCCGGATGTGGCCATGGGCTCTCTCTCAGGGTCGCTTTATGAGGCAAGTCGAGGAGGATTGTTGTCTGCTCCTGCTGCTCCTGCTCGTTTGGAAAACCATCGCATCGATCTGACCTGTTTCGTACCACGAGGCTTCTGCTGTCGCTCATGAAATGCCAACTCCTCCATCGGACAGAATTCTCGACATTTGCTTTTCGCTGTTCGAGATTTGGACTCCCCATCGATCGACCCAGTTCACTATCGAGGGCTTAAAATGGGACCGAACTGCGAACTGCGAACTGCGTTGGCATACCCACGCAGTCTGCTGGGGGGGCTGGACGGTGGGGGTTCGGTGCGCCTCCTGCCTCGTTATGCAAACAAGTCTTTCTCCACGGAACCACAGTCACAAATAGCCACCAAATAGCCACCAACGCTTGTGAGGCATCTTCCGCCTTATAATAGCTCGATCGAGAAACGACGACAAGGCCGAACCAATTTCCTCACCAAACTTGCCTTCAAAAAGACCCACCTCTTCGTTCCATTTGGATGACATCACCTCAATCTTTTCACATAAATAAAGTTATACCTTGATTCACAACTACATACTCTATATCAGTTGATTTAAACTGCATAAAACTTACTGAGTACGAAAAAGCTCTAAACGATTAACAGAAATATATTTATTGATGGAAATTTATTACTACATCTAAGACGTCATAAAACTATATGAAAATATACATAGATTTTTAAAAAATAGTGCATTAAAAAAAGTGATTATTTACAACTTTTTCGTATCTGTTATTATTTATATGTGATAATTTTATATCTGCTATTAGCTACATCAAATCAAAGTACCTTTTTTAATATTCCTCATTGCAAATGAATCCCAATAGGGCACATTAAAGACCTGTATAATTTTTCAAGAAAATTAATAAGTAAGTAAAAATTAGTGATCGTCTGTATCACTACAAGGAATATATATTTCCCGAAGCTGGAAATCTGAAAGATATGGGTGCAATAAAGATTACGATAGGAAAATTTTTAAAAATTTTCACATATATCAGAAAAAAATTCAAAAATTGGAAATATTACATAATTTTGAACAATTGACCAAAAAATCAAAATTTTTATTCTGATATCAAGTATTCACAAATATACTTTATAAAATGAGAAAAATTAAGAAGATACAACGTCAGTTCCATAGAATCAATTTAAATGAATCAGTTGAGTAAGATTGATTCACTCCAAGCACTTCATTCACTCCAATCACCAATATTTAAGAAAAAAATCTGAAGCACATGTTATTTTCCAAATATTATATATATGAAACTAAATTTTTTTAAACATGCTTATAAAGGTAAATAAGTTGATTTTATCCTGTTAGTAATAAATACCTTTATAACATTACTTATTAAAATAAGGATTTTATCCTGTTACTAGTTATCCTGTTAGTAACAAGGTTCAAAAAATACCATCTCGAGTAAAAACTATTGTCAATATGTTTTCAATAATTTTCTTATTATATTAATTTAGATAAAAAATCAAACTAATTCGTATAAATAAGTTTTCATAATTTTGTAGGCTAAATAATTTAATTGGTTGAAATTTCTTTGAACAATAAATATCTTAGATTTTTATTCTAAATATAGAATTTCCAAAAGTTGAAAGGTTTATTTAAATAGTGTTGTATTGCTTAATTTTTATATTTTTCAAAATAAATAATTTTTCTTCCATAAATTTATTGCCTTGAATAAAAAAAAAATCCATTATATCATAGATATTCAAAATCACCTTATACAAAAAAACTTATCAAGTCTGCGAGATTTTGTTGCAATCTGATTAATCATGTATCTGATTAATATGAGTTGGCCATAAATCTCAGTTTTCAAAATAACATGATTTGGAAAAAATAATAAATAAATTGAAATAAATTGTATGGAAACTTTTCTTCAAACCTTTTTGTATTTAATGTAATAAACATACTACACATCACATCTTCTTGATTTAAATATGAAATAGTATGCCTTGGTTTGAGACTTTTTTTTCACAATTTGTTCTCACGATAATATCTTTTATTTATATACGAATATTGTTTTAATTTTATTTTTTAAAAATTACTCTATTAAAAAAAAGGGATTTTTGAACACAATATTTTCTTTGTAAGTTAAACTATGAATATTAGAGTAGTCTGAATCGTGTACAATTTCATATCATTTATAAATGGTTTGAAGATATTGGTTTTTTTATATTCATACAACTTGATTAATTTTTCGTATTACATCATATTAGAAATGAAGACACCGACTGAGTGCTATTATAGTTTTACATTTTGTTCTTAATATTTGTCTTGGAAGTGTGTATAATCATATCTTTTACGTTTGATGCTTTTGACAATAGCTTTGACTATTTTTAAAAGAATCAATCAAAATTTAAGTGCGTAGATTTTTTGATATTTTCATATATATATATATATATATATATATGATCAATCTAGAAGATTTTCATTCATGTAGGTCTTTTTGGTATATTTAAAGGTTTTATATTTTAAAATTTTAGATAATATAAAAATCATACAAATTTTTTTATTCAGGGTAATTGAGATATTTGGTTTTATTTGTAATGAAATGATGTTCACATGAAGACAGGTGTTTGTCATGTCTACTTTTTTGTCGCTCATCATTTTCTATCAGTATTTCTTGTTCATTGGTGAAGGTCAGAGATTATTTCATTTATGCTGAATACAACTCCAATCATAGAAAATAAACAATCCTTTATTCATAAATCCATGTTGGCGTCCAAAAGTTCAGCTGACGCCAATGGAGCTGTTGTTTCAAGCCCTACTAATGTCCAGTGTAACTGGGGCCTGGCCCTCCGTTAGCTGTTCATTTTGTTCTTTGATAGGCTCGATGGGGTCTTGCCATAATATTTTAGTATCCATGCGGCGCACTCGCCTTGTTCCAATCGCATGATTGTTAAATTTCGATCCGAACGTAAATCATGAGGACCTCGTCTACGAAACAATTTACATGTGAATTGAATACCCGTCCTGAGCAATATAATACTGCCGAGACAGGTGCACGCAAAAGCATGCGTCGGTATCTCTGATATACCAAATAACTGATGTGATTATTTCGATGGCCCTTGGAGGAAAGGACCGAAGTCCACGATGACGGGATCTCGACAATCTGGACAATGTGGACAATGAAATCGCCGATTTACACAGTTTACTACAGGGACGGTAGAAGTGATACTGTGAGAAACATGTTCCAGTTTTTACCGAAGCAATTTGCTCATGAGGGCGAAAGTAGAATAAAATCTTCTGTACAGACAAAAGTGTGGCAATAAAGGAAGCCTGTACCAAGGAGCTCGAAGGTGTAAGATGCGGGTCGACCGATTGGCGGATGAAGATCTCTCCTGGGAAGCAGTTTGCGAGCCACCTTCTTCCGTTTAAGAGGAATCAAGCGTGAAAGCCTGAGGGCCTGAGGGCGGAAGGCATCAACAAGTTGACAGTCACGATGTGGGATTGATTCAATATAATATCGACGACATCTTTCGAGCTCATCGTCACCTGTTACTTCGTATTTTAGCCTCTGGCCCGTGAGATATTTGTACTCGAGCTCCTAGAATGTGGATTCTCCTGGAAAAAAAAAATGCTCTGCATGTGAAACAAAAGGCGCTCGCTCGCTCGCCCGCCTTCGGGCTCGATGTTGCTGCATCCCGTTTGCCACAGACGCGAAGATCACAATGTCATAATAGTCCCAGCAGACCAGCCAGCAGCTGCAGGCCAGGGAGGGTAGAAGAACTCGCGATACAAGAACTCGGAACCGCCAGGCGGGAGGCGACGAGCCAGTGAAACCGGGGGTTGGCGGGAGGCAAAACCGGGGCAGGGGCAGGGGAAGGGCAAGGGGATGGGGGAGGGGAAGGGGGAGGGCTTGGGGGAGGGGAAGGGGAAGGCGAAGGTCACTTTACACAAAAGGCTGCGGGTCGTGAGAATTCGCTTCCCTCTAAATTTTATCCCTTCCGTCACGTAGCGTCCGTGCTGTCGTTCCGCGTTTAGCAATAATACATGTACTTTGCATTGGTCCAGAGTATGATTAGCGGGGCTAAGCGAGTGGTAAAGAAAGCATGCCGACACCGGTGACCGATCAGTAGCAGAGCGCCACGTCGGGGCTGGGCAAGTACTGCCCGGGGGCAAGACGACAAGGCGGGGGCTCGTCATGACAAAGGCTCCGTTGTAGTTTGCGAGCCCGGAAAGGGGCTCGGGCCGGATCTATGCGAATGCCCTTTGACCGAGACAAAATCGAGCTCGATTAATTAGGGGGAAGAAATAAATTCGCACAAGTCGTGGACCTTACAATAAGCCCACTTGGCTCACCGCTGTCTGCAATCCCCCGCCTGGCCCCGGGCAGGTCCGGGACAGGAACAAAGAGTTACTGTCGTTTCTCCGCGCTCCGCAGTAAGTCGCTTTGTTTTACCCGACGGGGGCTGTGGCCGTGTCAGTCGTCTCTTGCTGCTGCTGCTGCTCGCGGCAAAGGGGGAGGGGCAGGGGCAGGGGCAGGGGGCAGTGAGAGGGGCAGGGCAGGGGCAGAGCGACGAGGCCGACGAGGCCGGGGCTTGACGACCTCTATAAGACTCCTCGTGCATTTCGAGAAGACTCTTTTCCACCCCCCCTTCCTTCGCCCGCCACGACCGACCCGCTTGTAGCGCAGGGCAGCCGAGCTCCGAGCTCCGCCCACAAGTAGTAGAAGAAGAAGAAGGAGATGAAGGACAAGTAGAAGAAGAAGAGAGTGAGCTCCACATCCATCTTGCCGGCTCGACATCTGCTCTGTATTGTGTGGTGGGCTCCTCAGTCCTAGCCCCCAGTCCTGAATACCCCTCTTCGTCCCCCTCCTTCCCCCTTCCCCCCTCCCTTCCCCCACCATCCTTACCACCTTCCTTCCCTCCCTCCCTTTCTCCCTTCCTTCCGTCCTTCATCCCCCTCTCAGCCCCTTCCCCCCCCCCAGCCTCTTGCAAAGTCGGGTCGAGAGAGGGAAAAGGAAGATACTTCGCCCGCATCGCGATCTCCAGCTTCGCTCGGTCGCTCACTCACCTCACTCACTCACTCCCTCACTCGCATGTGGAAAGACTTCGTCGAGCGAGAAAGAGAGAGAGAGAGAGTGTCAGTCAGATAGGATCATTATCTTGTCGAAAAGCGCTTGCAATCACCGCCAGCTTCGTCGGCCCTGCGAAAGAAGATAGACCTGGTGTCTGTCGATTGACTAGAAGAAACCCACTCTTCGCCTCATCCCGCCTCTCCCTCTGCCCGCGCGCCCTCTCGCCCTCCCGCCTGCTTGTCTGCCTGCTCTGCTCTGCGCGCATTGCTGTCCTCGTCGCCAACGAACGGCCTGCATCATCTGCTCTCACCTTGCTCTGAAGCTCGCGCTCCCGTCTCACAGTAAGTGTCTCGACCCTCCTCCTGCTCCTCACGCTCATGCTCGCCTTTTCCTCCCTCGTCGAAAATCTCGCGATCACCTCCCCCGTGGGGTTTCTCAGACATTTCCTTCCACCTGAGCTCGCTCGCTCGCTCCCATTTCTTCCGCCTTCCTCAAAGTCCTCTCTCGAGTCCATCGCTGTCGACGAAGCTCGGGCGGCAGCTGTAGGAGAACTCTCTCGGCCTCATGTCCGGCCAGTCTTTCGCCTTCTAGTCGGAGGCGACTTCTCGTCTGGCGTCCATTTGTTCTCGTCTTCTCTCCCTCTCCATCTCTTTAGCTCGAAATAGTGCCGAGCATCGGGTGCGTCCCCCGGAGCAGGGCATGCACTGGCAGTGTGATTCATTCGGCTCTGGTGTGTTTGCTTGCCGCTCCAGCTTTCTCTTGCACCCAGGATGATTTTTTTCACCCAACAAGATCTCGATGCGTGACATTAAATCAGCTCAATATCTTGGTACCCTGACTTCTTTCTACTCCGCGCTGCGCAAAACCCATCCCCACCCGAGTCTGTACCCCAAAGCGCGATGTCTCTTGGCGCCTGTCGATGCTCGCATGCAATGCTGTGTTTGTAAGCGGTCCCGTCAGCTAGCGATGCCGGGACCAGAATCCGCCTCGTTTGTATGCTCGCACTGACGTCGCACGCATCTTTTGCAGGCTTCTTGATTCGTCAATCGACTCTACTTAATGCTGTGGCTTCCACTCGTCGAGACAGACAACTGCGGGACGCTCAATCACAGGAAGGGTTCTATCACGGGGTCGTTGGAGCACAAGAGTGACCGCCAGGATGCCGGGCCCTCAGACGTACCCTAAGATTATCAACACCCTGATAAAGTCGAATGCGAAGGTGTGCCTCAAATCCTCGAAGCGCGACTACTTGACCGACTCGGACGACGAGTGGACAGGACCCAAGCCGCAAGTGTGTCCCAAGAGGGTGCGAGTCATCTGCACTGATCCCGATGCCACGGACTCGTCCAGCGACGAGGAAAGCAACTTCCGGGCCAACCATCTCACCAAGTACGCGTACAGAAGGCATGTGCAGGAGATTGACATTCGGGCCGACTGCTCCCCGTCTTCTTCCGACAGCGAGGATGAACTGAGTTACCACAGCGTGTTCACCGCGAGGGCTATGCAATGCGGTTTCAATTGCGCCAGCTTATCAGGGAATGCCGTCTACGAGTCGAGCAGCAAGCAGTCGCAGGGGACGTGGTTCTCCAAGAAAAAGGTGGACAAAGCCACCTCGAAGAAGGTCGTCAAGACTGTCAAGAAGAAGGTGGACGGCATTGAGAAGACGAGCACCTCCAAATTCTTTTCCAAGTCTGCCAATTCGAAGTCACTGGCCGGTCGAGGGCGAGGCGGTGATGAGGGAAAGACTCACAAGTACAGGGGGGTCAGGCAACGACCCTGGGGCAAATGGGCTGCGGAAATTAGGGATCCTTCCAAGGGTGTTCGTCTCTGGCTCGGCACTTATGATACAGCTGAAGAGGCTGCACAGGCCTACGACAAGGCAGCTCGAACCATCAGGGGTCCGCAGGCGCACACGAACTTCGCCGGGCTCTCGGACTCGGACAAAGCCGATGATCCGACCGACGGCGAATTAAACGAAGCTCTCAAATGCCATTCTGGCCCCACTGCTGAAGTAGAGATCATCGAGCTCAAGTCCGAAGCAGAGACCGAAGGTGAGGGCGAGGACTGTCCATTCAACCAGGACCTCGATGATCCGATTCATCTGTCCAGTGGAGTGGCTTCCGAAGTGTCCCTGAGCAGCAGCAAGTCGACAGGCGAGCCCAGCTGCTCGTCTCCCCGCAAGGGCAGCAATGCAGGAAGCTCGTCCAACAAAGGGTCCAGCTCGCAAGCTCTCATTACCTGTGAGGACTTTCCCACAGTGGTAATGACGGACGAAGAATGTGGTTTCCTCGTGTGCTCGCCGTCCTCTGTTCTCGACTGCTACCCAACTCCGCTGTCCGAGTGCTCCCCAGGGAGACAGTCTTCAGAGGTCAATACTTCTTCCAGCAGCTCGGTGGCCGATGACGGGGACCTGAATTATCTGCATTCAGATATGGGGTCGGACGGGTACCAAGTAGATGGTGAATCTGACGATATTTCAGCACAACTCCAGATTGCCGACGAGCCCGAGTATACAGACTCTGACATGGACTTGAAAGATGCTGCTCCTGAAGGGCTGCAAGAAGACTCGACAGACTTCGTGCAAACCTATCTCACAGAGCCCGAAGGTCAAGACGAATTTGTGTTCGATTTCCCCCCCTGTGAAACCAGCAGCGCAATGTCGTTCGACTTCACAGGCTTTGACCTCCTGGGAGACGGCGGTGAAGACATAGCCGACTTCATCTTCGAACCGGACAGCGGTTGGTTTGGCAATCTCACCGACATTTCCGTTTCATGAGAAGCTTCCCAAACAGCGTTCTCTCTTACATTTTTTTGGTAATTGCAGTACCTGCAGACCATTCCATGGTGGTTGGCACGATGGCTTTAGTTGAGACGAGATATACATGACTTAAGGAGAAATGTGATTTTTCCTGAAGGTTGCTTTTTTGCCCGAATTGCAGCGAGCGTTGCTCTTTTAGATTCCCCCCCTCCCACCCGTCGGCTTATCCTTGAGTACATATGTTCCCTCATCAGGGACATGAGATATTAGACGGAGACTTCACCCTCTTAACCAGTCCAGACACCGTGACAGGACGCTAGTGGCCAAGCTTCCTTCTGCTTGAACTTCTTTCGATCCAAAGCCACTTCGTCTTGCGAGCGTCTGGAAACTGGGGTTCTCTCGACCACATATGAGAGGGAATCTAGACCGGTGGTTTCCTGAGTATTAAGATTTATGTTGGCTACATTACTACCCCGAAGGTTACCCTTTACCTACACAATTAGTTCATTCTTTTCAACACTTGATCCAATCGCCCATGGGGAAGATGGGTTATATAACAAGTGACGGCATAACCAGTTTTGCAGAAGAATTTTGTTGATTTGTTTTCATGTACAACGCCCTCTTAGTATAACTGACCTTGGCAACTTAAAGACTGAGGGCTTATTTCTAGTACCAGCACCCCCATTTGTAGTCGGGGATGATCTATGAGCTTACTATATGGTTGCTTGGTATTAACGTGCAACCAAGCCGGCAACCTTTACTCTATGTTTAATTTTTGATTGTAAGCAAGGAACTCTTCAGAGTGGCAAACGTGCTAGACTGTTATTTCTGCACCTAATTGCTCGAGACTGTTCTATCTTCACACTACCATTTGTCGAGTTCTGTCAGCCTGTAAACGGCCCAAAGTGAATGGAAGTGTCTGTCGAAGCGTTGTGAAGTGCAATCGACCAATGGAGAAATATTTTGCATCTCCAATGGGCTGGTGTCGTATGGATGAATGGTCGCCTTCATCCTGTGGAAAGGAAGACTGCAGCGGAAGAAGAATAAATTGTCTTACATAAACATAATATTCCCAAGATAGCGTAGATTGTAAGTGTGTCGGCAAGTTGTTGCACTCAGCTCTATCCAAGCTGTTATGACGATTACTCTGTCAGCGCCGTGAGATATTGTACATGTCACACATGCGAAAGAGCAGAATATAATTCATTGCAAGCTCGGAGAAATAGCCCGCATGCTAAGTCGCCTCCTGCAGACACTGACGGAGAGAGTAGAATGGAAAAGTGGACGAAGATAACTTCGACACTTACATGTAATCTATCTTCTAAATATCACCTCGTCAAACTAACACCATGTCAACATCGGATGAAAATGTTCACAAATTATAAATTGCGGGTTTTATTTAAGTAGGAATGACTAGAAAAAAGACTGGTGTAAACCTTGCAAGATCTGAAGTTGACTATCGCCAGCAAAATCACGATTGAAAAAAATCTCGACGAGGAGAGAATCGAGGAAAGAATATATCGTAAAGACAAATATTTGCACGAGGACGAGAAGGTGAAAAGCGTATGAGGGAAAATGCCGGATTGTGAAAGATGTATATTTCCGAAAGCGAGAAAAAATGGGAGAAGCCGAAGGGGGAGGCGAAAATGCACACAATCTGAAAGCCGAAACTCGGCGGAAAAGGGGAAAGAGAGCGAGCGGGTAAAGAGCACAGAAATAGATGGCGATTAGATGAGAGTTAGCGCCACCGCTGGGAAGGAAAAGTGCTCAGAACACACAATTAATGCACCTGTACGGGGGCCTGACGTGGAGCTGGACGTGCGTCATTCGGCCAAAATGACCTGTAAGCCCATTTCCCGTTGCAGCCCCTCTACGTAATAGGGATGCACATCGACCTGCCAGACCGACTTAAAGACAATCAGTGAATCTGCAATGGCCAATAATAGTGGCAGTGTGAGAGGAATGTGAGAGCTGGTATTATTAGTGGCCGAGCGCGTATGCACCATGCGTAATACTGTGTACGCCTTTTCAGCCATACCAAGTACGTATGGTCCGAAGCTTGAATGTATGAATGTATGTACAACAACCTCGGTGACATGCTGGGCAGCCCACGAAGGTGCGATCGATGGTGCCAATGGACGGCGCCTATTTCTGTTCTCCTAGTTGCTGCTGCTTCGATCGGTGGTCGATCGAGCCCTCTCCCCCTCCCCTCCCCTCCCCTCCTCTTACATCCATTAAGCGAGGGTGCTATTTCGAGCGGCATGGACAGAATCTCCGTTGCGAATTGAAGGCCGGCGAGGGGCCATTCAACTACTCTTGCACTAAAGCTGATGAAGGTGACCTCAGCAGATTGTGCTGCAACATGTCGACCGGCCCAGGGCCTTGCTCGCTGTGTCACCTCGGATCAGATGCGGTGAGGCCGTGAGAATTACATCCTGAGAATTTCGATCGACTCGAGTTACACCCGAGCCAAAAATTCCAATCATCAAATTTTATTCGTACAGCACTCTCTCCACTCCCTCCGTTCTCACTTGCACAACGGAGCTTCCTTAATTCCCGACCACTCACTATCGTTTTCTAAGATATTTCCTTCTTAATTTGTTTCGGGCCCCAAACAAACGGCCAGTGTAGTTAATGAATGTCGAATCGTGAGTACGCTAACAGAAACACACGATTAAAAAAAAAAGATCCCCGCTGAGACGTGGGTCTAATCCATTGATTACATTTTGGGTGCGTGCAAAAGTGTTATGCTCTCATTTCACTCATTTCACTCTCTCCAGATCTCCAGTTAGTCAGTCAGTCAGTCCATGTTACGAAGGATTCGCGACATAGCTCGCTCGCATCCATCGCCAGGGCAACTTTGCTGTGATTCGATAAGAATCGACCTCCTCCTCCTCCGGGAAGCAGGAGCTTCATCGTTTCCTCGTAGGATTGGAAGAGGAGAAGGGTTTATGGTTGCCCAGATCAGAACGCTGTCCTGAATATTTTATTATAAACTGGTAGGTGCCTAGGCGGCTAGGGGGGGCTAAAGTTCACAAGAAAGTCATTTTCTGAGGCCTTCTAGCGCTGTGACAGCAGAAGCATGCTCGAGCACCCCCTCCCTCGCTCGGGCCCGCCATAGCCCCGCTACCCCGCTACACGTAGCTTGACAAGCTCGACCGAGAGAAAATCATTGCGACTGACAGTGGGACGGCATCGGACGGTGGATTGCGCATGCCGGAGGTTTACCGAACAGATGTTGTCCGATGGACGTTTAGTAGCAAAAATCTGAGATACCGGTGAGGTCACGAATGTCAGGGCAAATTGCGCGGGAGCCTGGAGCACATGACAACGAGGTTCGCAATGCCACTGCCTTGTTATCTCTAGCCTCTCTGTACGTCTTCAGGTTTGTCGTCTGGAATGTACACCCCTGCAACAACTACGACAAGATTGATCGATCGATGCCCGGTCGACGACAAACGCCATGAACATTCACTGGACCTTGAAGTTGCTGAGAAACTCCATCCGACCCGCAATATAAGTCGTAGCTCTCGCTCACGGCAACCACTCTTCATCTCCTGCTTGAGCACGAAGCTCAAGCAGAAGCACAAGGATCTCATGCAAGACTCGAATGCAGAAGTTTCTCCGATACTCGATTCGAACGACAAGTATTTTGTCAAACGACTGAAATGCAGCACCTCATGGACCTTTCGTTGGACCTTGCGTTGTTGAAAGTTGTACATGAGGACAAGACGAGCACGATCATGAGCCTCTTCTTTTTGTCTCTGAAGCTCGGTGCATGTGACGATTTGGTCAAATGCCTAGTGCAATTCAGAGTTCTATTCCATATTTTATTGCACGAAAAGTGGACTCTCGCGAGACTTTGCATGATCTTCGCCCACCACTCGACGATTAATGCTGGCGCAGACGATTAATGCTGGAGCTCTGGATGTGCAAAAACGAAATTGAGCTTGAGGGAGCTCGAGGGAGCAGCTGACTGAACACATACACAAACAAGTAGAAGTGAAGAGTGAACTCCTACGACAAAAAAGGAAATAGATCTGCAAAGGAGGATATACCACTTGGGAATTGGAGATGACGTAAAGATTGGATGATTCGATGGGTCGGAGAATAAATCCACTGATTGTTCGAGAGCCTTGGAGTCCGATCCTTTTAAGACTTGGGTTTGTGCTCAGAGCTTTTCGGCGCTCTTACGTGCATGGATATTCTGCACCGCCACGCGGTGGAGGCAGTGGAGTGCGGCTGGAATATTCATTCAGCTGTCCGTCCGTCGTTCACGAGGAATTTCCTTCGCGCATCTCTCCAAACTGCAGCCGTGCTATGGAGCCAGCCAGCGAGGCTCGTTGAAATGCTTGGAGCCGTGTCAAGAGCGCATCCCGAGGAGAACAAATCTCTCGCACAGAGCTGAAATGGGAGAGAGAACAACAGAAATTCAACATCATGGCCTTCGAATCTAGAAGATGGGAAGATGGGAAGATGGGCCATTGCCTCGAGGTTCCAGCTATTTTTCGAACATGAGTGTAACCTCTCACTTGCACAGAAAGCCAGCCATCGACTTCCCCTTGAGTTCACTCCAGCACTAGGAGTGAATTTGAGGAGTAATCTTACTTATGCCCATGCCCTTCCAATTTCAAAGGACTTTCCTAATGCTCTCTGTCTACATTGGATCTACTGCAAAATTTCTGAAATGATTAGGAGATTGTTTAATCCTAATCTTTAAATAATTTATCTTATTGAACTTGTTAGCAACTTTTTAGTAATGTCTTTGTTATGCATTGAAAACATAAAACTTGGTGTAATTTTTAGATTTTGGTTATTGAACATGCGTGTAAAGATGATGACATCATCTTTATATCATGATCGTAATTATATTTTTTGATGTCGATGTTTTGTACTTATTCATGATATTTTTTATTTATTCATGAGCATCAATAGTTGAATCGTGTTCTTTTCTAATATTTTTATTCATAAAATTTGTATTGATATTTAAATTAAATCAAGCAAAAAATCGTCTTATACAATATATGTGATATAATTCTATATTTGAGACACAGATTGCTGCTGCATTACTTGGAAGCCAGTAATCATTACTTCTTAAATATGAATTTTGAATTTTTTCACATAACTATAAAGTTGACATTAGTTACTTGGTATTTCCAAATCAAGTACAGATATGTCTAAAATGAAATGAACTCCAAAGCATACCATCACGCCATCCAAGATATACCAATGATCTATCAACTCAAATGAAAATATGGTAGTTTTTCTTTTATCATCACAATAACCAACGAGCCAAATAGATTTCCCAAAAGTGATATTACACTGACATGTGAAAAATGAAGGTGCAAATGGATGTATGAACTCAATGTGAAACCTCATCATTATGAAATAGGTTTTTGATGCAAGTTAGGTAAATTCTGGTTGAAAATTCTGGTTGACGAAGCCGTTTGTGATGTCAAACATCCATCTAGAATAACCCTAGTCCTACAGATAAGATTCAGCGAAGATGTATGTCTCTATGAAAAATCTCATATTATGCACTTGAAGGTATATAATCAGATAATATCACCAAATATGTCTACTATACTCTTGCAAAAAGCTGTCCAACTTGATGAATTTGCAGGTGAAGGACTAACTATGAGAAGTAGTTGAGTGGGTTTACTAACAACACTATATAGGAATATATCAAATGCCGCCTCCAGCATCTAAGTTAGGAAGTGAAATCTACATTCAATACGTTATTAAGAAGTGAGGTGTCTACATACTGTAGAACAATATACTTAAACCCTGCTTGCAGCTGAAGAATACATGTAAGTTATATGCCTCTACAAATCTCTAGCAGCAAGAGACTTTACTTCCTTCAATGTTCAATTACAGACCCCATGGAAAGAGACTACCGCTGGTCTCATCATCAGCATTTGCGCTCAGAAAAGTCTCTGAGAATGTGTGAAATGTGTGAAATTCCTGCCCACTGTAAAGGCGGACATGCCTTCATTATCACCGTGGGCACCTTGTTCACTCCTCCTGGATCGACAACGACCGCTGTCCCAAGCATGTTCATCTTGTTTTCCGTGGGTCTGGAGTCGATAACGTCACTGAGTTTCTAGCGTTGCTGGCTTAAAGCACATCTGCTTCGGAGTTCCAGCATGTTTGCAGGTCACTTGTTTGCAGCTGCAGAGAAAAGTCCAATCGATGCAGCTTTCGTGACGACTTTTCTTCTATCGAGACAATGGCTCAGATATCTGATACATACGTCGTAGTGCTTGGCTCTCCCAAATGTCGATTTCGCTACACCCGAGTACTGCTGCTACGTTGCAGCTTCTTTAAACCACAAAGAAAGTAAGGTTCTCAGGGCAAGCTTATGTTTTGAGAGATTGGGCACTTCTGTTGAGTTGTGTGCGCTTCCACGGGCTTCCGGAAGATCGTTTTACATTTGAAAGACACTCTTTAAAATCAGGCAGTACTGACATAAGAACGACAGGATGATCGTGAAACGCGTTCAGCTGTCGGCTCGATCGTGGATGCATCGATGGACAGGTCTTTCTTCGTCCGGTTTTACAGAACAGATCTCTTTGAACTTGTCCACCCCAGTGAGGTAATCCTTCTGCAGATCGTGCGACAATGTTCATAGTCGAGTTCGTCCGACTCGATCCTTCATGGTGACGATTCGAAACGAACGCAATTGATTCCTCTCTAAACCCCTTAAGTCAGTCTACGCATATGGTACTGTACGATACAGGTATCGAAATACACCGAAACCTTTCATCTATTCGCTCTTGAGGATTGCAGAGCCAGGAACCGAACAGTTTTTGTGTCTGCAAGGTTGAAAAATGGAGGTAAAGCTGTTAATGGTTGTGTTGCGCAAGAGAGTGATAAGAACGTTGCTCGACGGTCCAGATTTTGATTGCTTGGAGGGCACATACTTGGCAACTAAAGTCTGGTGTCAAGTTTTCTGGAGCTCCAGAAACTTGTTGAGTACATTTACGTTCTCTGTCCATATCATCGACCGATGACTATCTGCAATTTGGGCACTACATAATGCAATCTCAGCATTCTCTTCACTTACGCAAACAAGTCAAACAACTGTTTCGCTCATTGAGTGTACGACTCAATATCAGGGCTTCATCAGGTGTGTTCGAAACGTGAGCAATTGTTTGCAAGACAATGTACACAGGTCTTCTGGCTGCATATACTTTGGCTCATATCACAGCTCAAGTCAACAGCTTGCTGCTTATTTCTTGCACAACAGGAAAAAACATATGCTTGCAAAATGTTTATTACAAACAATTTAGTCGACTCGAGGGCATCCAAGAAATGTTTGGTAAAGAGCCAGATGTTTCCTGCACTTCCAAGAGTCCCCTTTGTCTAGCTGCTATTTCTTGAAAGGAACATGTGCGACATCATAAGCGCCATCCAATCTGTGCTCAAATAATCAACCACAATTACAAAAAGGGCCAGCCTAAAAGAACAAATCTCAAGACTGTAGAGCGCCACATTTGAGAGCTAGAAAGGATCTCTTAGAGACAGAGAGAATGTCTGTCCTCACTGGCCAGTTTGTAACAAAACTTACACTCTCGTCATATCCACCTAACCATTATCTTCGGCAAGATCACATCCACATGGGTACGCTTCACACGCGATTCGCATCAGCTTCATTGCAGAACCGAATAACGATAAATTTTGGGTGGTGATGAGCACTGTTCCCCAACTGATCATGTGATTCTTTCAAGACTAGCTCAATTTGCTCTACCTCGAAGTTGAACAACTTCTGGAAGAGCGCTAAAACATGCTACCTCAGACTAGCCTAGCCCAGCCACGGTCTGCTGATTTTATTTTCATATTGTGGAAGAATAAAATGATTGTGGAAGAAACTTCACCAAAAAGGACAATGAAGCCCCCCGAGCCGAGTCATACGAACAGCACTTCAAATTTTTTACCTTCTTGAAAAACTTACAATATGTGATTCCATGCGACTTTTAGAAGAGTGTAGCGATCAACCAAGTCCAACTCGCAAACAGCTTCAGTCTGAAGTAATAGGTGGGCCAAAGTTCTTGCACCACTTTTGAGAGGGAATGGGGCGAATTGGCGGAACAGGTCGTTGCTGCAATCAAAATATTTAACATTAATATTCCACAATAATGTTGCACTGAATTCGACCGCTACAGGTGCCCTATAACATCTTCAGTTCAAAGGATAATATAGAAAAAGTGTCATTCAATTGTATGGAGTGGTCAACAGTGCTCAGGTGGAGTGTATGCGAGAACAAAGTTAATTAGTTATTAGGATCTTAGATAATGATTTTCACTACCATTGTGAAAGGTGCATAGTTTAGTCAGAATTTTGAGCAAATAGAGCAAGTAGTCCAGTCGGAGCTGGCGGACAGAGAAACTCTGAAAAGCGCATCTTCAACCCTAATGCTTGCAATTAGACCAACAATTAACCTGTAGTTGAAGGCTCCTGGTAGGAGCTCAGAAGTGCAAACAAACTCTACTATCTACCTTTCAGCTGGATTTCCCAAGTACATAAGATCGATATTCACTCTCATCACTCTAGATAAATACTATTCAACAAAACGGTCGAGCTTGGCAACGACAAGGAAGTTCTGGGAATCGAATGAGAACGATCCATCACTACAGAGCATAATATGCAAATCCTCAAAAACACATTCCGGATGTTAAATTTTAAAGATCTGAATCCGTGACGACATGAAACATCCGAGCTCCATGATGTACAAAAACCACTCAGGTGTGAATTACTAGAAACCGCCAAGAAATTACCTCCAATTGAGCAGACTTCATAGCGATCGGAATACAAACAGCGAAGATTCCGACAAAAGTTAGGGCCGTGTTGCGTCGCCACAATTTAGGATCACACCACCATCCTCCCGTGGGGCTCCACACGCCCGTGGGATAGCCTGGGTAGTGACCATGGGGTTCTCCATGACCTCCTCCACCCATCGCTTCCAACTGCAAACCTAATACAAAACGGCAATTCAATGCACAATGCAGAGATCGAATTCACCAACACCGAATGCCTCCAGAAAGCAGCAGAAATCCACACGAGAAGTCGACGAACCGCGCAACACATCAACCTAACACGAGACTAATCAGTACGCGAGCCTCCGATCAGATTGAGGATTCCATTCGTACCGGAAACAGCGCCTGCGCTTCGACTGATGCAATCTGTCGACCCTGAGAAGTGGATCTTCTGATTCTCGTGGCAATTCCGAACTCGATCCCTCGGCGCTGCAAGGAGTAACTCTAAAAGCCTTCTTCGCCTTCATCGTCCTCTTCCTGTGCACCGGAATCTCTCCTCTCGTCTCCGGGAAGGAAGCAGCATTGCTGCATGCGTCCGTCAACGTATGGACTGACGGAAATGATTACGCGTCCGGCATCTGCCCCTGCCGCGCAACTTTTTTTATGTACCTCGTGGGTCGTCACACTAATACTGTAAATCACTCACCAGTTCGAGAATGAATATCGTTGGTCATTAACCTCTTTCGAACTTATATTCGGATTCAATGATATTGAGAAATTTTTTAACACAATCTTCTAACACAATTTTTTTGTTTCCAAAAATTTAAGATCATGATGGAACCATGAAATAAAAATCAATATTTGCACGTCTCGCATCATCCTCTTCTTTACCAACATTGATTATCCATTTTTGAATCTCCCATGAAAATAATTATGCCATTTTTTTAGTCAACTATTGGGATTAAATAGTAATTTTTTTGGGATACACTTATGTGTATCCCAAGACTTGTTGTAGAATTCTCATGTCTATTGTGATGTATGTATATCTTGTAAACAGATGAAACTTATATTGAACTTTTTGTACAAGTCTTTAATGATTTGATTTAAAAAGATGTCTATCATGGATATAAGAGTCAAAGTGTAAAAGAGTAGAGTTTAGTCTCACGATCTCTTATTATCATTTGTAGCTCTCACCAGGAGATATGATATCCTTTAATGGCTGACATATTTTTAGGAGTGCCAGTTCGATCCAAGGATCTTGACTCACATCACTTATAATTAATTTTGGCTGAGTATGCATTGCATATATGTTATATTCTCTCACTAGGATATACATATGTGATGTTTGATATAATGCACTCTAATATAGCTAGCTGACCTACATATGTTTTCAACACCGTTACAACTGTATCCACGTTTTTACTCAAGATCTTTCATAGACATAGAATGAGCACTGTTGATTATACCATATGACATACAGTCCGGATGAGCGATTGGAAGTTCGTGTCAGAGACACATTTTTGATGATGTTTTGTGAAGGAATGGTTCCATTATCAGTGGAAGAAGCGCTATGTTTGGCGTTCTTACCCAATTGAACACTCAACATTTTTACTGTCATCTCGCTTTGTAGTTGCAAATAGATACATCTTGGGAATGTATGTAGAGGATGTGACACATGTGTATTCACATCACGTGTTATCTCATATCATACTCTTTAGTACATGAGGTAATATATGTGTTGCAATCCTTTTCTGCCTTACCCACAAAAGGAACTGCAGATTTTTAGTCTATTTTGATTGACCGAGAGTTTTAACGAAATTCGTATTTTCTTTCAGTCTTGCTCGTGAAGGGTGCAGACTCTTTAAGTGTTTGATTCGATCATACATGAAGATTCCCGAATTAACATCATAAATTTTTTTTATAAAGATGAGGTTTGGCATGGGTTCAACATAAGCATAAATATTTTCGTTGGTCACTTGTGAGTTTTAATAATCCAGATTTAAACTAGAATTAACATGCTTTCATGTTCATTTGGAGTACAGAGATAACTACTCTCAAGATGTTTCCGATGACGTGTGAGTAGTCACAAGCATTACCATTGATACACAGCAAACATAACGGGTTACTTTTTGTTTGGTTACTTAAATATTATGATTGTAGACATAAGGACGCTGCAGAGATTAAGGTAGCCAGCATAAACGAGCCTGGTAACAAGTTTACAAACATCTGGCAAACATTCTTCCAAACATTCTTCTTTTTACATCTATCAGTTCTTAACTTACACCAGAGGGATATATGCTACTACAAAGACGAGTATCAATGTGACGCATTTGAAACGGAAATAAGAATTCTCTACATACACTGACAAGCTCATGTTGAGAATAGCCCATTTTCAGTATACTTCGGGCAAATTTTATTCGCTGAGAATAAAAAGTTCTACAAACAGAGGTGTTTATCTGCGTATTCCCGTTACCTCAGTTTCAAACTATTTCACATGGAAGTCGAATATATGTCGAAACATACATTTCAGAAAAATTCAAAATAATATGAAGAAGAACATTTAAGAAGATATGATATAAGTCGGTAAAATATGGAAACCAAGGGATATATAATTTATCTATCACATAGATGAATTATATAAAATAATAGTAATAATTTTATAATTCTAATCTATCACATAGCCGGTAAAATATGGAAACTAAGGGATATATAATTTATCTATCACATAGATGAATTATATAAAAAATAGTAATAATTCTATAATTCTAATCTATCACATAGCCGGTAAAATATGGAAACCAAGGGATATATAATTTATCTATCACATAGATGAATTATATAAAATAATAGTAATAATCCTAATCTATCACATAGCCGGTAAAATATGGAAACCAAGGGATATATAATTTATCTATCACATAGCTCTTCTGGTCATCCCATCGCCAAAGAACTAAATATCTCTATAATTCGAAAAGCTTATTATCTCTATAATTCGTGTAACGCTTCGTATATACACGAAGCGACATCGCCAGCCATTTACATCCCACTTGCACAGCGTCAGCTTACTCTCATCCCCCTCTGCTTCCCCAGGTGCTAAAATCCCGAGGTTCAGCCTCCGCCTCCAGCACAGACTGCGCTCCTCGGACATAATCCAATCCTGCATCTGCAAGACCTCAAAGAACTTGCACTTGCGCATGGAGGAAAGGTCGCAGACGAGGAATCAGAGCAGGAGAATTCGCAGCTGCTGCGAGTGTCAGGGGCGGCAGAGCCTTCGAGCTCCGCAACTGGCTTTGCTGGAGCTCTGTACTGCAAGAAATGTAGAAAATGGCTCGCCATTGCTGCTCTCCCTTGAGCTTACAGACAGGCACTGGTTATGTACATCAGTTTCGCGGAGTAAGGTCCGCCGCGGAACTCTCCCACTCTCTTTCAACTCATGCTCCAATCAGTCAGTCACCGAAGCTAATCGAAAAAAAATGCAACAGTGCAACAATGCAATCTACAAACCTGTAGATTGCATTGTTGACACTGTACAAGTCCGCCAAACTCCTCATCGGCTCGTACGTTTATTCAAAGGCTCGTATAAGCCGTCGAGACTGCTGAGGCTTGAAGACGAGTGTGCTGAGGGGAGACACTTTCTCAGCCCTCGCCACATTCCACTCAAACTTTTCAAGATTTTCTCCTCGGATAGTTTCCACTGGTCGCCACTGCTGATGAAAATCATCCTGACAGAACTTTGAAACTCGCAGAAATCTTAACACTCCAACACTCGCAGACTCTGAACGCGCTGTAGACAGAATGCCGAGCGACGCAGTGGGCTAGAATGCAATGAGGCATTCATCGATAGGGGCTCGCAAATTTATAGATCGCGATCTTCGAATTGACATCGACTGTTCAGTGGTGGAGAAGACATATCGCAGACAGTCTTGGATTTTACTGCGCAGACGGATGGTACCAATCAAGACGTTTGAATTCGAGGCAATCCGAAACGCGAGCACCATTTCTCGGCTCCGTCGGGTGATGATAAGAATGTTATCGACCACCGCCATTCTTCCCGCCGTGACAAGTGTTTAGACACGTTGTTGGCTCTCCTTGACATCGACTTCGTACGGTTCACTTCGTCGACATTCTCGGAACATGTCGCTTCGAGCTCCGAACTGATGGCTCGGGCAACTTGCGATCGTCAGCAGTCGGCTTTTAGTTCGGAGTTCCATGACGCCAGTTGACCATGTCAACATGGTCTCCGGTTCGGTCGGACTCGACAACATGTCCAACGGCATTTTGTCACTTTCTTCGAGTTTCTAGATCTCAGGAGAATATTCATGTTGAACAAGTGGTACACTTGCCGAACCACATACAGACAGGAATTCAGTTGCAGGTTTTGAGGGCATTAGCCACATCCAAGTTATCTAAGCACATCATTCAGTCAATCAACATCGTAACAAGTGGAAGAGTAGTGAGTAGCTGCTGCAGGAATGGCTCAGGTCCAAAACTTTTGAATCTCATCTTTTGATCCTAAGGTGAGTTGTAAGAATCGTAGTCATTTTGACAACTCGTAACATTTGTCAACATCTGATGGCATGAAAGTATCAAAATTCAATAGATATGAATAAATGTCTCAAATCGTTTATCATAGCTATGACTGAGCTAAAAATAACCCATGTACACTAAAACACACACAATTCTGAGGTCCCTAGTCTCAAAAGATTCAGTGAGTCTACCATGTTCAAATGCTATTGTTATCCATAACTACATGCATCCATGTTGCACTTTTGGGTGTCAACGTTTTGTGCGTATGGCGCCACACCCACCATCCAGGTTGAATTCTAGATGTCAAAGTATTGCGTGTCACGATGAGATTTATCCAATTGCTTGATCGGTAGGAGAATAGTGGTCATGCACTTTGGAGAGAGAGCGTTTGTGTTGATCTCTACTTGTACAAGGAGGACCGAGTTGATGTGGCAGATTTGAAATGTCGGTTCAACTGGAAATAACGCCTAAATGTAATTAGTGACAAGCATTTCTTCAATTCATTGATAGGATGTGTTGTCCTCGATCCCCTGCAATTTTCGCCCGCTTACAGACTTGAGGATTTCCCTGTGATTGTAACTTCGGATGTTTTCGCTTGTCCCCATTGCTCTCTGGCCCAGGCATTCCTTGGCGGACGAGAAGCAGAGCAGCAAAATGGTGCAGGATGTGTTGCTCGGAAGTTCTGATGGATGCACCTCTTTGCTGGAGACTCGATTCTCCTCGCGATTCGAGAATGTATCAGAGGAGAGTGAAAGCTAGCAGGATCAGGTCCAGCTGGAAGTGAACTTTGGTGCAGTGGGTGCTTGGAATTGGAACAATGCTGAGCTCACGCTTCTGCTCTGTGCTCTGTGTTCACTCCACTTGTACATGGAATCGTTCGTCTAAAGCGAATTTGGCCTGCGTGAGTGCATCGGTGGGTACTTCTCCGCTGCGGCCGCAGCCGTCTCTGAGCAGAGGATGGATTCTGCAGCACAAACGCGGAAGTGCGGGGACTGGAATCGAGGAGGTGCTGCTTTCGACGCTGGAAGAGCCCCGTTCTGAGTTGGAGTTGCAAGCCATTGAAAATGGGAAGGAGCTGGAAATTTCGGAATCTTTGCGAATTTCGGGAATTGAAATGGAGAAGGGCATGAGATTGGTGCCTGAGGCGAAATATGTGAGAGGAGCAGACATTAAAAAAGAGAGCTTCATCAGGGTTTACTACATATCTGCTTTGCGGGTGCCTGCAAAAGATTGTCATGAATTAGAGAGAAATTTAGATGAGCACCTGCTTAACTGGCCGAGAGTGGATAATATCGCCCGAGTTCGAGGAGATGATGTCGATCACGACCTGGAGAATCTCTTTCGAGGCAGTAAAGAATGGAGCCCGTCCACTGCCCAGGCTATAAGATCGGCAATTTATGGTGAAGAAGGTGCAATCAACGAAGAGGCAATTTTGTCAAATAAGGACCTTAAATTGGTTGAATCAGGTGTCAAGGGCATGGATGATCAACTGAGTCCAACCTCGATAAGATGTCAACCGTATACGGTGGAGGTGGTGGACGAACAAGCAAATGCGAATGCATCTGGTGGCTTGCTTGGAATTCTGAAAAAGAAATGGACAGGTCCAACGAGATTGTTGTTACTCAACGAGGAACTTGTGGGCAGGAGTTTTGCTGAATTACCTCCTTCTATCAAGGTTGACTTGACTTCTCAAACACTACATATTCCAGATCATGTTACACATGTTTCTCACCGACTATATATCATTCTTTTGTCATTTTCGGAAGATGACTGGTGTCTGGTACTCTTGGAAAAATGGAGATCTTACGAAAAGATGCGTTTCTGAATGTGGCGGAGGAAGAAAGTTAGTAATATTCGTAAGTGCTATAGAGGTTTCCAGTCTGGAGAATAATTTGAAGCAATAAAGTGCAGTGCAGGCCGTGCTTTCACGTTCCGAGGAATGTGAATCACAGAGCAGATGCCAACTCGTATCTTGCAGGCTGACCCTCTACTACGAGTATTGGTCTTTGGAGGAGGTAAAGCACCGTTGGAATCCACTTTTTGTGCATTGTTGTTGTTGCTCGACGTTGATAAGGACGAGATTGAACGTTGGCCTCAGATACTTCTATCTCATCACTTGAGGATTTTATGGATGATATGTTGGTCTCGTATTCTTCTGTGAACCGTCCAAACTGACGTTATCGACCTCTACCTTCTTTCTGGATCACAGGTGCTAAAAGATTTGCTACCCTCGGAGGTTGAAGTTCCAGATGCTTTCGAAAGAATAGGTCACGTAGCATTTTTAAATCTTAATGCTGAGCAATGTCAGTATCGACATCTCATTGCCCAGGTGGGTTTACCCTTTTTTTTTCAGATGTACTTGAAGCAGCTGAAAGTGTATCGTGTCATTCTCACCCTTTGTTCCGTAAGTAGAACCAAAGGCGAGATTTCCATCATTTGTTTGATGCATTGGGACTGAGTGTCAACAGAGTGACAAGAATTTCCCTTGTTTGTGCTGTCTCGAACTGACAAGACAATAACGATTAGCATCTTTGCTTCAAATTTCCGTTTGATTGCATACTTATCTGGGACCTGTGGCAGGTGACTTTGGATAAGCACCAACCAAGAGTAAGGTCTGTTGTGAATAAAAGAGAAGCGAGGAATACCAGGTCTTACGCCGTCCACGTGGAAGTTTTAGCTGGAACCAGCTCTCTTGTCACAACTGTATGGGAGAATGGTATTCCTTTTCGGATCGACCTTGCATCTGTGTACGTGACTTCATAATCGTCCTTGATATGCAAATTATTTCGCTCTGCTTAACCTTGTGCTTAGATGTATCCAAAGCTTACTCACATGGTACAAACAGTAGCTAAATAGTTTCAGCAGATGGATGAACACTTGCAGTCCGGGTTGTCTTGGGTAAGACATCTATCGCATGCGACAGCAGTTGTTACCTCTGCCACGTCGTAAAGGGGACTATCTTACTCAAATGCGACCTTTCAGAACGACAGTAACATCTGCAATGTTGGCTAAAGTATTTATGAGTCTGATAGCGTTTATATTCTCAAGACCTGCATGAATATGAACAATCTCCTGGAAAAGGAGTCCGCCATGCATTAAACAGAAATCTTTGTGTGCATCAGTTTTAGTCATCCATATATCCCCTTCGTTTTGTTGTGTTGTAAATTTTGTGTTGCCTGTGTAATGTAATGTACCTGTTCTGATGCTTACGACACGGGTAAGTCTGCAGTCAGTAGTATATTATCAGTATAGTATCTATATGAAGACCAATGCCGTTGCATCTGCTGCTATATTCAGAAACAGCTGGTGAGAGCTCAATTTTTTTGCCTCAAGAATAAGAGACACGACTTTAACAATTTGGGACCTTGAGCAACTGCTTCCATTTTCAAACTTCTAAGATTTTTCTTCAAGCAATTAAAAAACTGAAATTGCTGTAACGTCAGCAACATGGGGTGAACTTATAATTGCCAGATGCCATAAACTGAAAAAACGTCCTTAGATTTTAGCATTAACTAGTCTACCAACGTACAGGGTAGCGTTGACAGGATAAATCTTTCCCGACCACAAGGAATATAGTTCAAGCACAGTGTCTACACTGTGCTTAATCTCTGTCAAATTGACATGACGTGAGTGCGTATCAAAGGCATGTGACACAACACATACAACTTTCAGTAGCTAACACTAGTCTCAATGTAACAGGATCTGGGATTCTCGTCTCAGGGCAGACAGGCAGCGACTGGTTGGACTCTTTTGTAGGAACGATGTCGTGTGTGAGTAAACTACTCACTTATTATCTTAATGTCGTTTTCATGGCAATTTTCTTTCTTTCAGTGAGGGAAACGAAATCAGGTGACATAATGCAAACTATGACAGGAATTTAATTTACTTGGAAGCCTTAAATTTCAAACTCAGTGTAGTTTCGTCTCGGGCTTTCAAATTCTCATTACTTCCTCTGATTACATCGATTTCTGACATCCAAGCCGGGTTTCTTTGACTCAGGCGACGTATTTGCAGGTCCTGGACCAGTGTCTGTTCCAGCTGGTTTCAAGGTTAGGAGGACTTTTGCAAATGAAGTCAACCCTGTGGCCTATAAATATCTTGCTCAAAATGTTACTGCGAATAAGGTTGCCAGTAAAGTGGAAGTAAGTTGTTGTCCATAACGATCTTATGCTGTGAGGGATGCAGTTTCTTACACTGAGAACCAGCTTTGGCTTTCAGACGAATCTGTACTTTGTTTTTCTTCTCTTGTCAGGGACAAATGTCCCTGACCCCATTTGATGTTATGAAATTGATTTGATGGCTTTGGTGGATTTGATGTACAGGTCTTTAACCTGGATACATCTCAGTTTTTAGAAAATGTGTTTGATCCTGAAAGGCCCTCGCCAGTAACGCAAGTGGTTATGGCCTATCCTTCAGCGGCAGCCGATTTCTTGGGTAACTTCTGCCTTTCAACCCTTTTGGTGGTTTGAACTAAAATCGATGAGGCCAAGGTTAGTCAGGTTGCTTGCTCCATGTGCTTTGCACTGAAATACTAGAAATCATGATTGTTTTTTCTACTTGTTGAATACTTTAGCGTGTTTGTGGAGCAGATTTTTTTTGTGGTGCATTCAAGCGAAGGACGTGGGAGTTGCCTTTTTTGCCAAAACTTCACTTGTATACTTTCTCCTCTGGTGCAGATCCAGCAAAACGAGTTTCACAAGTATGTGTCGTCTTTGTGGCTGGTCTCTTCCCCGGTAGTTATGATGCACCAGCTTGGATGCCGAGAGATTTATGTGCCATATTGTGATCGTCTGTTGTTCGAACATCTTTCATTTGCCTCAAAATCAATACTCGCTTCCATTTAATGTTTGTGATGCGGTGCTGTCTTTGACGCAGGATATAGAAAATACTTTCGGTGTGTGTCCGAAGGATATGGATGTAGTTCTTATAGCAGAAGAAGCACCTGGAGAGTGGATGCTCCGAGCTTCATTTACCATCCCACCTGAAGTTGGATTTCGATAGATTATTCCGAAGCTGCTTTCTTTGAAGGTTTTCAATTGTTCGGAAATCACAAGTCCTTTGTACCAAACGATATATGTGTAAATTACATTCAATACCTAAAGCTTGAAGAGCATGTTCTATGGGGTGACACAATGTTTCTCACGGTATTAAAATCAAAGTGTGGACGTTGGCACCAGCAATATGATTGATTCACTTCTAATTTATTCTCTTCCAGAAATTTCATCTTTTTCAAGTGTTTCCTTCTTCTCACGCATGAGATGGTTGGAGAGGGTAACATGGGATAATAGAGCGTCATTTAAGTGACTTTCTTTTTCGATTCTAACTAACTCTTGGTTACCCGGATGTTTTATAACAAATTTGGTTTGTCATATGACATACAATTCAACCTTCAAACTATTAATCAGTAACGTGTACTGTAGTCAATAAATGGCAACACGAGGCAATTTACCTCGGATTATCTTTGACTTGTATGGAAAATCATTTCTTTTTGTCATACAGAGGAGACTCAAATAATTGTTGGATTTAAAAGCAATACAAATTTCAATAAAGAGAAACAAATAATGTAGGGTTTATTTCGCATCAGCCGGCCATTCTTCACTTTCCAGTCACAATAAACGCTACTTTTATCACTATGAGCCACGGCTGAAAGATGGAGCCTCCCATCCACAAAGAATCATCCGCCACTATCATCATTACGACTCATGACCAAAATATAGAGCCACCTAGCCAATGAGAAACACCCTGAGAAGATAAGATGAACTTGCGAGCCAGAAAGTTAATATTTTGCTGAATGTATGCTCTCTCACCAAGTAACTTGAATTTTAATCCTACCCTCACTCTCTCTCTCTCTCTCTATATATATATAAATATGTATTAATTGAGAAAAAATACTCACAATTCTAGAAGTAGTGAGTAGTCTATGTCAAACACAGTCCGAAAGCTCGAGACGAGTAAGAATATCTATTTGAGATCATTTTAACACATTCAAGTTTCAAGATATTAATTTTTAGCTTATTAGTAAAATAATATATAGCTAAACAATATGGTATATTTCTGCCAAGGACTGGATCACATAACGTGACACTACACAACAAAATCGAGCTTGTAGACAGAGCATAGGTCTAAACACACAGGGGGGTTTATAATAAAACATGACAAATACAACATCTCCGAACAAATGTGACGAGTTCCAACGGGAGGGTTGAAAACGACGATTTCCCTATGTACATAGCCATGTTGAAAGAGGAGAAAAACAAATTTCACTCGTGTAATAATCACACAGACAATGAAAATGACACATTTTCACCAAATGTATCTACCTCAATACCACAACCTCTCACAACACAATGGAATTAAAAAAATTCAACAAAAATGAAAATGCAAATCATGGAAAATTTTACATTTAGATCTCCATAATTTTCTCATTAGTTTCCAGTATAGACAATGTACAAAAAAATTGTCGAAAATTCAAAAACCTACGTACGAGTTGAAAAAAAATCGCTCAATTAACAATGTTGCTAATATTTATCCAGAGAATCCTCGACAGTGTTCAGTTCATGATGCAACGGAATCACAACTGACAATCCAAATCAATCCCCGACGCCCCAGTCATGTCGGGCCAAGTAAAAACACGGGAAGAAGTACAGTAAGAAGTAAGAAGTCCGAAATGGCGCTCGATAACCTGGAATTCCACTTTTGGCACCACAAAAAGTGCGCGCGAGATAAGACCGAATGCAGAAGATGGGCGGCCGTCGGATGCGGAGATGCGCTCGAAAAAAGCGCTGAGGATGTTGCCAATTTTCGCGTGGCGGGATAGAGAGGAGCGAGCAGCACCTGGACCTCGGTCCTCGAGCATTGGCTCGCCAGTCCGGGACGTAATCTGAAGCTGCGCGTTCCGTGGCCCTCTGCCGCCCCGTCGGTGCGGCAAATCTTTTCCGCCTCTCCCACCGGCGTCCTGCTCCGCGCGGGGATTCTGCCGCGATCTGCCGCGATCCGGCGAGATTCGGCGCGATTTGCCGGACGCGATCCGCGTGTCCGGCCGGAGTTAGGGTTCACGGCGACGGCCCCGCGCGGATTGCCGGCCGCAAAGTCGCACCGCAAGACGGGGTTCGCCGCGAGTGGGAGGGGGAATAGCGAGGGGATGCTGCAGATCTGCCGACGTGCGAAAAAGGGCCCATGAACCGGAACAGAGGGTACGGTACAGCCGGTACAAAAGGCGGAGCCGGGCTCGGACGTTATGTCTCGATTTCGTCGTCGGAATGTCGAAGCTGACTCTTCTTGTTCATCTCGGAGCCTGACATTGCGAGCGAGCGAGGAACGCACGATGGAAGAGAATTGTGTCCAAGCGCGAACAATTTGAATAAAGTCGAGTCGAGTTGAATCGAGTTGAGTTGAGTTGAGGTAGAGAGATGGGGCCGGTCGAGGATGCGGAGAGGTTCGATCGGGGCAATCAGTGGAAAATCCGGGACCATGATGACGCGGAGGAGACGTGAACGTTGCGCAAGTGTTCGTTTCGAGTGTGCGGAATTAGCGAATTGAGGGTTGATAAGTCGAGGAATGGCGCTGGCTCCCGTCATGGCTCTCGTTGTCAGTCCGAATTTCACTCTGCGGCGATCTCCTCCTCATTGCTTCCCCTTTCAAGCTTACTGCCCGACCTCTCTCAGTTGGTATATAATACAACTCTGTCATTTTTGCTTTGCGAAATTCGTAAAGCGAAATCCATGCTGCCCATGAGTTCTCTACGGTTTTCTTTGCATGGTAACGAATTGGCCTCTCAGATGGATGTCATGAGGTCGTTGCATTCGCAAATAAGTGCAGTCTCGAGTCTTCATTTGACTGAATAATCTTGTCACAATCATACACCGGGCGAATGCATACTTAAACAAGTCGAGCAGTTTGAAGCATCAGTCTTGAGCAATGAGCAATGTACGTGGTCATATTTTATGACAAGTGTGCTTTGCGTCTGCAGTTTTGAACTCAGAGACCTCGCTCCTAATTGAATCGCAATTGAATTTTTGCAGGAACGTCACGTACGCAAGTAATGGGAGAAGAACCATCAGAGGAGACTATGACGGTGTTGATATTGCGCTCTCAAACCCCTCAAGAACCTCAAATCCCAGAACGAAAGTTGCCTCCAGCGGTGTGAATTCAATCATCGCGGAAGATGCCGTAGATCTTATCATTCCATCTGCCTCGAAACCACCACCCCCTTCAAAACCAGAAAAAGACTACATCGTGCGGGAAGCGAAACTTGACGAAGAGCTATGGGTACCATCTCTGGTTCCTGCTTGACTCTGTAACGTGGCTTTACCTTCTTGCAATTGGAGAAAAAATATTTTTGGTTGACGCCCATATAAACTGTATGGCGTCAGTTCAATACAGGGAGAAACATGTTTGAACGGATACCTTTGTCATGCTAATTTGGTTAGTTCTTAGTTTGCCTCAGTCGGCTGCCATGGAAGAGAATACGAGAAGTCATAAAAAGCTATCCTTAATTTTAGTTGACGCTTATGCTTTCATCAGGAATGTGTGGTTTCTTTAGGTTGAGTAAGTTCCGACCAAGAGCTAGTGTAGCGAATCTGGTTAAAAAAATGTTTCTGTCAAGTTTGGGAACTGTCTGCGAGAGTACCTCCTACTGAAATTTAGTTCGTGCAAATGTTTGAGTTCTTTTAGGCAGCAGCATGGATACGAGCCGAAAGTTATTGTGAGGACCAGCCATATGTACGGTATGCCCCTTCGCTTTCTGATTACGCTGTCATCTGTGAGTGAGCATCCCCTATCACCGCAGCTTTTGACCTTTTTTCTAGTTCCAATTAAGGACATCTGTTTCTCTCTTTGTGTATAGCTCATCGGGAGCTCTACAGAAGTGGGGCAGAACCGGGGCAGAACCGCAGGAGTATAGACTTGCAAATCGTAGGTTAGTCCCATGTCTTCTTTGTATACAAGTCCCATGTCGATGAGTGCGTGATGCAAGGATGTGATACTTGGCTTTTCGTTCGACCACAGATGACGTAAATGTGTTGGAGATTATCGATCTCCTGAATACTTGGTATACAGACTGCTTTGAGTCCAAAGTACGGTATGTCGTGACAATCTTGACATTTTTGTTGAGTTTCTTTGCAGATATATCGAGAGTTACATGAAGAACTTCGCAGAACAGGTCAGTTGTCAACTGACTCGCAGCTTGAACCTGTGTGAAGTTCGAAGTTTGGTTCAGCTTCAAACTTGAAATTGCGAACTGTCTTTTTCGCAAACCTCTACGGCTTGCAGTAAGAATTGGCCATCTTTAGTAAAAGTGGGCAACGTGAATTGTGCACATATTGATGTATGTCTTTTGAGGTGGCGCTCACAGTTCATGTCTCTTATGGCAGGAGTTTGACGCCTTGAAACGTCGTCTAATGGGAAAATATGGACAATCTCTTAAGTGCATTTGTTTTGTTACGGTATGTCAATTGCAGCCCCAGTCCAAATCATTGAGGTTCTTCGTTGTAATGCAAGTTGATCGGCCTTTTATTATTCGCTGTTATATTGTCGAAGAGTCTATTTATTTGTTTATTTTATTGTTTGTTTGACTGGAATCGTGAGGATGTTTTACAAGCGCACGATCCATCTTCTCTTACGTGTAATAGTGATGACATTCATGCATGTAACGTAGGTGCACTGAAGGTGTGCGCAATTATGGGCCTCTATCTGTAGGTCAAGAAGAGGTCTTCACAAGATTCTAGCGAGAGCGATTCGGAGAAGACATCTGCCATGCAGAGTGTTGTTGGGACGCTAGATCTAAGCGTGCGACAGCTAGCACAGGGTGAAGCTTTTCCAGGAGTATGTGCTGCTTTGAGCCGATACACAAACGAATATATTTCAAACATAATTTGTGCGCATTGAGCAGATGCTGAACTGCTATTTCTATTGCATTCAGGACTCAATAAGGGCATCATTAGCCTCGGGCGCACCTGACGTACGTCGATCACAAAGATATGGTTACGTATCTAATGTTTGTGTGTCCAAGACAGCACGTAGAAAGGGAATAGGTTCTAGTCTTTTACAGGAGGCGATCAAGTCTGCAAAAACTTGGGGTGAAGTTCTCCTCTGTCAACCTTAGTCCGGATATTTCGGTTGTGTGCCTGATATTTCCGGGTCGCTGATGAGGCTCATTTCTTGTCTACTGGATATTGTCTTTTACAACTTCTGGCTCATAATTGCTGGGTTCACTTGGACAAAAGACACAGCTCAATCTTTATGCTACCGACAGTTAGGTCAAGCTTGAGTTTAAATACATGGTAGGAGTTGCTCACCACTCTTTTCTCGTATTTTGCAGAACTCAAGGAGCTCTTTGTGCATGTAAATGCAAGTAATAAGGCCGCTTTTCACCTGTACACTAAATACAATTTTCAGGTAAATTATCTGCCAAGTTGAAACAAACATCAACATGTCGCCTGTTTTGCTGAAATGCAGTATTATTTAACGGTTTCGATCTGGTTCTGGCCATGCTTGTCACTGGACAACTGAAGTCGATCCAATTGAAGTGCGTATTGCCGAGTATGTCTTGACAGCCTTAGTTGGTCATTTCATCGAATATGCGTGAATTTTTCAGGTTGCCCAAGAGGGAGCCGTCGAGGTTGGCTTGAACAATATCATCCTACTCCGGAGAGAATTATAACTGAACTTTCAAAGAGTGGGTTATATTTTTCAACCGTAGGGCAATGTATCAATTTATTAGCTCACCTGCCAATAAGGAATACCATTTCTGCTTCAACTGGAAGATCATTAGATGTGGTGTCACTCATACCACGATTAAGGTACAAAACCTTATAGTGCCGCCCAAGGGCAGAGTAGCTTCAGTGTATTTTGCTCCAAATCATTGTATCATCCCGCGAGCAGCAACCAAAACTGCCTGCTTTTGAATTGTAATATATATAAATTCTTGCAAGTATTTTCTGTAGACCACGTCTAGATGATTGCTTAGTCCATCGTGCAGGGAATGGAGATATTGCAAGTCGTGGCATGCTCCCCATTCAGTTTATTTGTTGTCTCATGTCAACGAGGTCCGTCATCAGTTTGTGCAAGTGTACATACGACATGATTTACTGTATTGTATAGCAACGTGAAAACGTACCCACGACAGAGCTTTTTGCATGTTTTCCACAGTATATCCATTTGCGTGCTTGGTATGCTTCATATACTTCATAACCTTTGCTTTCATTATTTCGCTTGGCAAGTGATGAAACTTGTCAAAGTATGGCTCGAGGATAACATCATTTGCCATGCGCTCCGTGACTTTGTCCTTTGCCATCCGTGATTTTACTTCGAAAAGCGAGGCACTTGTGTGTGGCAATATCAGCCGGGTCTTTTGGAAAGAGGCATACCTAACGCACTTGAATAATATTTGTATGGTAAATTCTGGTACTTATCAATTGAGTTGAGAATGATGTGACATCGACAATATTCCACGAGAGAAGACATCATATATCGCGAGTTGAATATGTAACTTGAAAATATCATTAACGACAAACAAAGAAATTGGAAAGGTGCAATCAGTATCATGCGGAGAAATCCCAAGTTGAAATCCCAAGAAATCCCTTCTACCTGCATAATCTCACTTCGTTTGAGAATATCTGAATGTCAGATTGCAGTCCACTCGTTAAAACTGAACATGAGAAAAGGTGAGCAAAACGCGTGATTAAATAAAAGTGCCCTTCATAGCCTTTATATCTAAAGGCATATTGCCCAAGACGCTTGGCAAATATTTAAGCCCGGAAAACAGTTGAGCCTCAGAAGGGATACAGCCATAAAATACAAGACCAACATAAAAATACGACAAGGACAATCTGAGAAATCAATATTTCTACAGAGTCAAAATATCTCCTTCATCTCAATACTATATGGGTTCCCGTGTCACACATTCGATCTATTGATTACATCGTCAGACCAACAGATTGGATAGGCTTTAAATTCACTACAAGTGGATCCAACCACTCCTGGAGGAGGTCCTTCTCCCCAAAGTCCAATTTATTGGTCTTGAATGAAAGTACTGAAGAGATTGAGTACGGAGCTGCTGCAGGAGAGGTCAGGAAACGTCACCTTGATCTGTGAGAAAATATCTCCTTCAAATAGATTATATTTCAGCAGAAGTTTGACCGCATCCTTACTGACCTTTCATCAAAGTCTTCCTGGACAGAGCTGAACATTCATACGAATGTATATGTGAGGATAACGCCTTTTTTTTCACATGCTCGGTTGAATCAAGTGGACAAAGGTATGTTGCCATAGGCGGGCACGCAGAATGTTTCTATTCATGCAGTGGCGAGATCTGGCCCTCTACCATCATTATTGACTATCGAGCGATAAAGAGAAATTGTGAGGCATCAGCAAAGAGAGCTCGCCGAGCAGTGCTTGGAGGGTCCCACATTTTTTTTCAATCTGGCATTTCTACTGGAAAACGATCTGTCTCTCCAGATCATCAAATGGGGAAATGACCTCAACGAAGATCTCCCTGTTGGGAAGCAGATCGGCAGAGATCCGTCTCATGATTGCTCAAGTGTGCGGCAGCTTGTGAGAGACGATCACACGACGATACACGGACCCTTACCAGTTCCGAGAGAGAATATCGGTGATTATGGGCCCCAGGGACGAGTGTTTTAGTCTAGTCTCTTCTTTCAAGTCATATTAATAATTGGCAAAAGCCAGTTGGCTTAACGTGGAGTTAACAAGCTTTACATATCACTTCGGGAACATCAAATTTTGAGTCTTCAGTCGATTTCAGATCTGAAGAGATATGGGCCCTGGTTGGAAATTTGATCTCAACGAGACTACTATTCTTTATCTGCAAAAGTTGTCCTCGAAGCTCTATGTGGAAGAGATCGGGCCGGGACTGCACCCCGAGCTCCGAGAATGTGTATGACATACACAGACTGGATGTGTAAAAGACTGATGTAACATTGATGGGAATTTAATTCGTAAAAAAATGGAGAGGGTTGAATGTCCTTGTTTTCGGCTCAAAGGATAAGGAAGGGACTCGTCTTTCTGCCTTAATGGATGGCAGTGTACGTCGTTGCTGTTTGTTCTTGTTCAGGTTGGATGGCATAAATTTATCTGTTATCCAAGATTTGATGCAGGAATGTGAATGAAGACGTTCACTCGTCCCTTTATAAAGACATTGAAGAAGACTCAAGAGAACATAGTTTGAGCCTCCTCCTCCTTTTCCTCCTCTTTTGCAGAAGATTCCCCTTGATCAATCTTGCTCGTCTGTGCATACGGAAGAGATTTATTCCTGTTTTCTAATCTCCACGAAATGTCCATCGCCTCTCGAAAAGGCTGTTCCAGCTCTGATTCGAACTTTGTTAATATTTCCTGGTATTTCCTCTGCAGACGTTGGCATATGCAGGGGGCAGTGAGCTCCCAAAGATGATAATCAACTCCATTGAACATCAGTTAGAGTGAGGCCACTGTTATATATATATTCTAATTAAACGATTAGAATAGTAATAGTGCAGATTCAACCACTTCTTTTTAGCTCAACAGGTCCTTTTGCCGTAATGGCTTCCTGAAGAAGTTCATGACGAGATAACAAGGTTGGTCTTCTCATCTTTACTAAAAGTCGCAACCACTGTCTTCCTGAACACCAAAGCCTAATAAGTTACGCATATTTAAAATCTTAAAAGAATGTGAAGACCCAAGAAATGACCACTATAAAAAGTGGAGTGTGGTTATCAGCCCCGTATAAAATCCGTAAAGCCCAAGGTTCTCTTGGATCCAAGTGCAATGTTTTAGTCTCAAAAATGTGGAGCCAAGAGAAAAAAGAGCAGGAGAAAGGTTTTGACTCCTACTCTTCACCCTCGCCGATCAAACGAAAAAGAGGAATATCTCATTGTCGACCTTTACCTTTTGAAATACAATTACGAGGGAGTTATCCCAAGTCACAGTCTCTATTCCCCACCAGATCATTATACAGTCGAGTTCCCTGATATAAGCTTCAAATAGAAAGTAGGTTGGAGGGATACAGTACAATATACAAACTAGCATCGATCCTGCACAGACGATAAGCTGTCGGGCACAAAGCATCAGGCAGGCTTTGAACAGAGTCACTCCCAAAAGAAGGTGGATTAACATACAATTTTCTCGTCGCACTCAACAGAATTACTGGGATTCCAACTCTGCATCACTCGCCATCGAACTTCCTCTAGCTTCGTCACTGTCTCTGGCGGAGCACCTTGCTGTTCAGCCCCACATCAGGCACAAACAGTCGTAATGAGGTTGCCAGATTCACGCTTAACTGATTATTCTTGAAGGACAACTACTGTCCTTCAGAAATCTCAAAAGAACACGACGTGCCAACGGCCAAGTCATTAGCGATCTTGTCATTCAAACGTAATCGAGACGGAACCACTGCAGAAGTCGTTTGCTTTGGGACCTTTTCACTCTCAGCTTCTCAAAGATTGGATTTTCGTTCATATTAGTCTTCTTCGTTCTGCGAGCAAAAAAGCTAGAAGCACGTAGACCGCGACTACGATTCAATTCAGCCCTTGCAGAGACCAGAGAAAGAGGTTGTGTTTAAAGCGCAATTCGGACACCGGACCTTAAGACGAGTTTTGTTGGGATAATGGGGTGGATTGGTGAATGCACTGCATTTTATGGCATGACATGGATGGACTTGGCAGTGAAAGCTCACCGCGTGCTGTTCTACAAAAGAAGAAACAAGTCGAGGGTAGAAGTTGTGATTGAGGATGGCAGCTTTCATGCATTCTAACTCTGTTGGAGATATGCTTCTGGTGACAGGCACGTGCTGCTCCCTTTGAGGATCAGATGCATTTCTGAGCTCGAACTCCTCTGCTGTCTTCACAACCTCTTGAAGCCCTCGGGTCATCCCCCTCTCTTGCAGAGTCCGATCTTCTGCCTTCGAGACGTTACCCACCTCCAGAGTAAGGCGTTCCAAAATGCTACTGAGCTTTAGTCTCACCTCCACTGGTTGCCTGTCGTCTTTGGGTATCACATCACCCTCGGCTATGTCTCCAATTTCTTCAACTCCTACTTTATCTTCGTCGTTATTTCTAACCGGATCCCGTCTCATAACCACCTGATCATGGCTGGTCTTTGCCATCATCTCGCGGTAAAATATTGCTGTGCTTACTCGGTCTCGATCCCAATGCTTCGCTCTCTGTCGTTCCCTGGCCTGTTCCATGGACTCAGGATTGAGGGACGAAGGAATCACGCTCGGGACTAAGTTTTTCTCTCTGTACAGAGTCACTGAGTCTCTGGGCAGCTCGTTCCATTCTGTACTCTGCTCGTTCGTGGTTGCGAATTGAGAAGAATCAACAGGAGACGCAATGCGAGGTTGGGGGAATAGAAGGGTGGTGATTCGAGATTGAGGTGACTCAAGCTGCAAGTGACTGTCCAAAGGTAGTTGCTGAGTCTGAGGAGTAGGAATTGTTGGTGCTTGGATGAAGAGTGTAGCAACAGTTGGAGTAGCTGCTGGAAGTTCAGGGTCAGGCACTTCTGCTTCATGCTCAACAGTGGCAGCAATATCCGATGTTGGAGCTTCGGTAACAAAGTAAGGTGGTGTCTGGGTCTGCGTTGATGCTTCAATTTTCTGCTCGGTCAATGTGACTGCTAGGGCATCTCGAGAGGGGATCAGGTCTCCCTCACGGTTACCTACTTCGCTACCAGTAGCTAGTGAGCTGGCTTCAATAATCGGAACACTCGTCGGAACACTCGGAAGAGGTCCAAGCGTGTGGAAATCAAGCAATTCGGCCGGCCTTATTCTGGGTCTGATGCGCACAACTTCTGTGTAGACATCCACGTCAGAAAGATCTCTAAATCACAGGTGAATACAGAAGGGTGAGCTCACAGAGAGAATGAGAGAGGGTCCACAGCGGCATGTGTACCTGGCTGCTTAGACATCAACTCATCGACAGCCCTGTAGACATCTTCTCTGATTTTATAACAATCGACTCCACAGGTGGGAACAGAAGGCATTTTCACGTCGTTGTCCGCTCCATGGTCATCGATCATGCCACCAGTCACGGGTGCTGAACTTTGCCCACTCCTTTGGTACTGATGACAAAACACAACTGGACATATGAGCTGAGATCATCCAGGATCATACGAACCATCAATCAACAACTTCACCACTTGGGATTAAACCTATCTTCGTGACCTAAAAGCAGGAGCAAATTGTTCCGACTCGCTTCAAGTGACAGAAAGTAAACGATGCAGCAGAGAGCACATTCTTGCAGATTTGCAGATCGAAGGATGAGAATGATGTTTCATGCCGCCCGGGCTCATGAGGCAAACGAGAAAATTGCTAGTTAGTGAACTGGACTGAACTGTATTGTGACGATTCACGTGCCTTCAAGGGAGTAAGTGCTGTACTGATGACACTGGAAGGAAGGAGAATGTGCAGTTCACGATTTTGTCATGATGACCTGCTTCACATAACTGACTACTCTTTTGCGCTCTGCCTTCTTAAAGTGGCCGTCGTGTCGCACAAAACCATCCTCTTTCTCGTTGAGTTTATTTCTCTTTTGGAGCTTCGGAAACGCATCCAAAACACAGTCGAACTCTTCCACTTTCTGCTTTCCTTTCGCTCTCGATCGAGGGTCTAGAATGGCAGCCTCCCCACGGCCCCCGCCGTAGGCCATCCATGGTAAAGAACCACGCTTCACCGTTTTCGGGGTGCGGCACACGTCGCACATGTCCGACTCGTCCACCTTTGGGAACGGAATGCCCTTGCTCGGAAACCCTCGCACGATCCGCTGCTTCATCGATGCTGCTCCGGTTTCCAAACTCTTCTCCGCCCACCACGTGCAGTGCCGACCTTGAGTAAATCCTGCGATCATGTCCATTCTCCGTCCATTCAGTTTCTCGACGAATCTCTCCCAGATTAGGGACGAATCCTGGACTCCTCCACGCACATTTGGCCTTCAGCAAATTTCAGCTACGACATCGTCCCCATTTCGATGCTTATTACCTCCGGTGCAGTTGTCAATGAACTGCACCAAGCTCTCAAGGGCATCTCTTTTCTGCAACTCGGCATACACCTTTGCTCGTGAGATTGTACATCCTGAAGAGCTCGATCACTACCATCCCAAAAGCTCCGGTCCCCTGCAGAGGCTCCGGCCATCCGCTCTCGGTGCAGCCCTGGAGAACGAAGACGCTGGGTTGCATCTGTCCTTGAAATTGATGCCTATTCTCGGTTTGTCGAGGGAAAGGGTACCTTCTCTGCAACCCTACTTATGCCTCGACTCCTTTCACAAGGAGGGATGATGCTCGATCGACAACCGAGGTTTGAGATTTAGTTGGAGCCAGTAGATCCATCCGGAATGGGAGGGAGCAGAACTCATCTACGGCTCCGAGATCTCATCGCCCCAGCGATGAGGTCAGACACGTCTGCCAGAATCGACCGAAGATTCTGCCGACCTTCTGGCAAACGAAACAAAGACCGCTTCGTCCAGGTCGAATTCCAGACGCGTTTCGAGTCGAACACCGACGGGACATGACGAGCGATCGAGCGATCGATCCCTCGATCCATCGATTATCGCGAGCAGTTCGATCGAACGCTTCGTATCTCTTTTTCGCTCACTTCGCGAAGCCTGGTCGTGTCGAAGAGCATCCTAATCAATCCAAATGCATCCGAAGCGTTCTCGCAAGCGACTCGAGCTTCGACGCACTCGAAGGAAAAAAAACCGCGGATCCAATCGTGCTCGACAGGAATCTCGGAATCAAAATGTCTTCCCACAGAAATCAGTGAACTGTCCGAGTAGCTCCCAAAATGCTCACTGACAGTAGACTGCAGTTCAGTTAGGCTTCATCGCTTCATCGCTTCATCGCCGGCCGAACCACAAACCGAATTTCTCCATCTTCAGCTGCCCTTCGGCCGAGCGCTGACCATCCATCCACTCAATCTCCACTGATCGCCAACTGTCGGGCTTCGTCCGCCATCTCGTTGCCAAACGGTCCCTCGTGTGCTTCCGCTTCATGAATTGCAGACGACGAGAAGTGTGCAGCGAATATTTCGGCCGAAGATTCCAAATTTGATTCGTGATACTTCTGCTCTGCACCGGGGTTGCTCTCATTTCTTTCCCATGCCTTCCCATAACACATTTTTTGGATGAATTACGGTTTTAGACTTGGTAGCAATACTAACCCATGATGATATATTATTTTATTTCACATCTTTTTAGAGCTTGTCTATGGCTCTTAGGTTCGGAACATGAGCTTCGTGATCATGCGAAAGATATTATTCTGTGAGAGAGAGATTGTTATTTTCTTCGTGGTCTGTATAGAGCCGAATCGTTACATTTGCAACTTGTGCCAAAATATGCGAATTTTTTTCGTCAATTTGACTGAGGGTGCTCATGTACAGGGCTAGCTGCAGAAGTTTATTTTGATGGATTTTGACTCGAGAACCTGATGGAGAACTGTACTTGTGATTATTTTGATTCCAGATTCATACCTCGAATAGCTTAAGGATTGATCAATGTATTCGTGCATCTTGACATCTTCATTTCAATTATAAACATATTTGTAAACTTTATGCACTCCTTTTCAAAACAACTTTACATAACCAGGTCAATACGTAATGATATATTTCTTGACTTCCCTAAATATTGTACTAAAATATCGATTTCTGGGTTTGATCTATTTATCTCTGAAACAACCGTATCTCAAAGAATCTAATATGAAGAATCATAACATAATTTAATATACAAATTATTCATACATTCGATTATATTCACATATTAAAAACTGAATAAACAACATTTGAAAATTTTATATTCTATTCCATTAATCAACTGATTATTGCTGTCGTTAAGATTATCATGATTTAAGAGAATGTCATTGTATGTAATGAGAACTTCAGTCAAAACTTTGATAAAAGTTTCAAATCCTGATAATGAATTTGTAGTTTATGTTATTTTGGTAACCTTTAAAAGTTACTTCGATGTGAAATGTTAAGTTCTTGAGACCGTTTATTTATCTTTATTTTTTTTAAAGATATTTAATAACTTGTTTATAAATTGATTGATTCAACGAAACCTAACTCAGATTAAATTATTCAAATTGTTTTACTTCTGTATTACGTCATCGATCACCTGCAAATAAAATTATTCTAAACCACTTTAGATTAGAATATTTTAATTTTCTATCAATCAGCGCGTGTCACGGATGGAATTACTAGGAAATAGCCCATAAAGGATGTGTATTCTTTTTCCTCAGAGATTTCGAGCTACTAGATGCTTCTCTTAGGCCGACCTCTAGAACGTAATATAGAAGAAATTATCTTCTCCTTCAAACTTTGAAAAATAAGAAAATTATTTGAGTGGTTTACAACCTTATTAAAAAAACTAATCTTTGTTTGATTTGCACTAACAGATATACATATGTTTTCAAAACAAAGAAATGATTTGTAACCTACGAAGAAATAGGAGAAACGTCAAAAATTAAGTCTTAAAGATGATGGAAACCCCAAATGGGTTCCTCCACCACGATCTTTGTTCTCAATTTGGCGACTCGCTCCCTTCACCGAGTGTCGGCCGGTGCAGAAGGGTCACTCCTTACCCAAACTTAGTATACCAGTATTGTAGCTGAGTTAGGGAAGGAAGTGGCACGAATTCCAGTGGATGTCACACATCTTCCAAGCTCATGTTTCAAATGTCGAAAGCATGGACACGTTGCCAAAACCTCCCCAGGAGATCCGCTGTTTCCGCAAACAAAAGGAGGAACGAACGCAGGAGAAAGACGCGAGCAGCGGCCTCCAAGAAACACAGCTGCACAACAGGTGAACAAGGCAGGAACCAGACCACCAGAGGCGTCAAAATTGCAAGAACCAGCCGCGGTTCAAACAGCAAACATGCATCCTCGAGCTCAACCAGGAATTTATCAACCTCCTGCAATGAGGAAACAGGAGGCTTTGCGAATTGCCTATCTCCACTTCAAGATACTTCTACCGAACTTCCCCAACCAGAACGACGACCATCAAGTGGAGGGTCCAAGAAAATTTCCCGACTCGAAATCGTTCCTACGGTCTCTCAAGTTTCACCTGCTGCAGTGATGAGGGAACAGTTAACGATGCCCGCTGATCAACATTTCTGCTCAAAGATCCCAAGGCATGGACCAAACAGAGGTGTTACGTAGCCCCAACCTCCTTCTAAGGTGGAAGGATGCACCAAAGGAAGCCCCCACCTTCCAGAGTCACAAATCTGTTGGGAATGCAGAACAAGGCACATCAACGTCACTGGCACCGGCGCCTAGGAGGTGGAAGCAAGCGTCCAGACGGAAAAAATCTGTCACGACCGAGGCTACTACCGAAGCTACAGGAGCAAAACGCAAACTAAACCCTGAACTTGAATACCGGAACAAGATTCAAAGGGGACTTGGCAGCCCGGCTAAGGTAATTGTGTCGTCACCTCCTGAGTCGTCTCTCGTCCCCAAGCAACTATTGCCCATCCTATCATCTCCTGAAATCGTGTCCAACACGGGTACGACTCTGGAGATAGAGAAGGGCTGCAGCGAAGGCAAATCAGAACAGCAAGGGAGGATGACCTCCCAGGACTTGAACGCCCTGACTGGTGCTGAAGACGAGAACGCAACCGACCAGAAAGCGGGTCCCAGACCTAAGAAACAGAGCGCCAAAGAGTTCCTCGCAGCACTGGCGCCAAAAACCCGAGGCATGAAAACTGTCTCGACAAAAAAAAGGGAGACGAGGGCAAGAAAGGGAGCAGAAGAGGGGTTGGCTGAAATACTCCCCCAAGTTGCGCCTCGACCCTGTAACTCGACGGGGAGTCCAGCGCTCGCTGAACCGACTACAATTGATGACAATTCTACCACCATGCGCGGCCGGGCGGCCTTTAGTGAGCAATGAACGTCATCCCTGCCCAGCACCCCCTCTCCCTTAAACTAGTGTCATGGAACGTGGGGGGTTTAAACGGGACCACTAGAAAATACAAAATAAAGGAGCTATACTACAATAGCGAGGTTAGACTAGACATTCTAGCAATCTAGGAGCACAAGCTTGATGAATTTGCTATAAGTGCAGTAGGCAATCTTCTCAGTCGTGACTTACGAACTGTGTGCTCCCCGGGTCAGAAAGGCACGAGGGCAATGGCATTGGAGGGACGGCACTTTTTATTCACAAGAGTTTCAGGATCATGTCATCTGGCATTTCAGAGGATGGCTATTTAACTTGGGCCCAGGTGACAAAAGAGGGCCATGAATTTTTTGTCGCTTCAGTCTACGGACCTCACTCACCATGAGCAAGGGCAGCTCACTGGACCGCACTGAGAAACATGTTTCCCCATACCGAAATTATACTTTGTGGGGATTGGAACATGGTACAACAGCCGGCTGACTCGTCTGGAGAACGCCAAGTTCTCAGTGGTGCGGAAGCCACGGCATTCCTGGAGTTCAGTGCCAAACACAACCTCCAAGACGTCAGAGAGCTCGCGGCTGAGAACCAAGGCCCTGTGCACACACGTTGGAGTGCATACGGAGGCAACCCACGCTGGGCACGGGTAGATCGGATCTACGTCTCACATGGCGGGAGATGACTCTCAGCGGTGAATACTGTTACACATCAAGCAGGGAATACCTTGTCTGATCACTTTCCAGTCTCGGCAGAACTAGATCTTGGTATTCTCCAGTGCTCAGATGGGAACTTGTCAAGGAACGGCCCCACGACCTTAAAGTGGAGCCCAGCTCTTATGGGTAAAGATGTCGTGAAGGCAGGAATCCAGCGCATCTAGAAGAAGCTGGCGCACATGAAAGATAACCCTCGCAGAATTTATAATCGTGGGATGATGCAGGTCAGGAAACTCCTACGCACGAAACAACGTGAACAACGTGGAAGACTCTCGGAGATCCAAATCCTCGAAAAGGAGATCTTTAACCTACACAGCACGCGACCAATGGAGTTAACCCCCTCCCAACTGACTCGGCTCGATTAGCTGAAAACGGAGAAACGGATAGGTGAACACGAGAGGGACGTCCAGATTCGACTTTGGTCACAGATAAAGCACCTCGGCTTGGGAGATGCTCCCACTTAATACTTTTTCAACATCCATCGACAAAACACAGCAAGGGCTCAAGTTCTGCAGCTGAAACTGTCAACGGGAGAGGAGACGAGGGACCAAGCAAAAATCCTATGTGCTGTCGGTAAGTACTATGCTGATCTCTACTCAAACTTGCACCGAAGAAGACATTTACGTTAGGTCTGCGATGATGCAACGGGTGGAGAACAAACTTACAGACGCGGAACGACTGATGCTGTCAGCACCTCCGACAGTCAAGGAAGTCGAAGATGTCTTGTTCTCACTCCCAGCGAACAAGTCACCAGGCGTAGATGGTGTTTCGGTGGAAGCGCTTAGGAAAACGTGGCCTGTTATGAAAGCGTTTTACCTCGCCATGGTTCAGAAGTTTTGGGAGGAGGGTATTCTTGCAGAGTCAATTACAGAAGGAATGATACGGCTCATCCCCAAATCTATAAACAAAACTGAACTCAAGGATTGGCGCCCCCTCACAATGCTGAACACAGATTATAAAATAATCGCAAGACTACTACCAAGCCGTCTTCAGGTGATCCTTCCAACGCTGATCCTGCCACAACAAACAGGTTTCATCAAAGGACGGAACATGCTAGACAACGTGTTAACTCTATGGATGGCGCAAGATGCCGCCAAGGTGACAAGCAGCAAGGGCATGTTTGTCAAACTCGACTTTGAGAAAGCCTATGATAGAGTCGAGCATTCTTACCTCTGGGACACCATGGAGCAATGTGGGCTTGGGGAAAAATTCATCTCCCTAGTCAAGGGTCTGACGGTGGGAGCCTCTACGGCGGTACACGTTAATGGGGCTAAAACCTTCAGGTTTCCCGTGGAGAGAGGTGTCAGGCAAGGGTGCCCCCTAGCTCCACTTCTGTTTGCCCTTGCGATTCAGCCACTCATGACAGAGATGCGCCACAACTTCTCTCTTGGAAAACTCAAAGGATTCAGAATAGGAGAGTCAGTGTTCATCGATTACTCTCTATTTGCCGATGACATGGGAGTGCTTATTGATGATTCCTTCTCCTCGTTCCAAGAACTACGTACTGCACTATCAAAATATGAGGCAAGTAGTGGCGCACGACTAAACCTAGCTAAATCGTCAATTCTTCTGTTAGGAATGGACAGGCCCCCCGACTGGTTTCCGCTGACCGGGTGTTCCTTGATGGGAAAAGGCGAGATTCATAAATATCTTGGAGCACCAGCTGGTCAGGAAATCACAAGAATACAGAGAGACGAATTCTGTACCAAGAAAATTTCCAGCACACTTGGTGGATGGAAGACACAGCTGCTTTCGTTTGAAGCCAGAACGATCCTATTCCAACACGTGTTACAAGCTCAACCCACTTTCTACTCTTTTTTGGTTCGACTGTCATCACAAACATGCAGAAGAGTGGAACAACTCTACAGACACTTTTTGTTGGGATACAACAAGGAGGGAAAAGCAAAAATTGCTCAGGCCAGATGGGACATAATGTGCCGATCCAAGTCGAAAGGCGGGTTGGGCATCAGAAGCCTCAAGGACACGAACTCCTCACTGATGGATAAGTGGGTAGGAGCTATTTTAGACGAAAACGCTGGTGGTTGGAGTTTAGCATTGGCAGAGATAGTGAAACAGTGCCGACTCAAGTTTTGTAGAAACATCATTCGTGGTCACTACTCCCTATCAGATCTGATACTAACAAATCAGCCCCTCCACTTGGTTGGAACTGAAGTCGGACTAGCTCTGATTAATTGTTGGAAAACTATACAAGCTGATATCTCTTGGGACCCCAGTGGTGTCCACCTCCCTGATTATCTCACTTTGAGAGATACTGTAAACCTGATATTAAACGATCAGGAAGAAGTATTGTCGAAGATAAAGGAAGTGATGGGCGAGCTACGTAAACTAAGAATCACGACAGTAGATACGCTATGGACCAGAAGGGTAGTACTGGAGGAGAAATATGTTGCAGGTCAGGTAAATCAAAACCTGAGAGAGGAAGGCTCTGTTATTCACGACTTTTTCCAGAAAATACTTTCTGCTCAAGGGATTAGCAACTCCCCCCTAAGAGCAAGTCCTGGGTGGAAGTTGAGAGGAAAACCGATTACAGGCAACTTCACAGATGCTGCCCGAAATTGGTATAAGGGGAAGGTGCAGGTAACATCACTGGAGATTTACCTCAACAGAAAGTGGGGCACAAACAAAAGCGAGAAAGAGTGGGAAACGGTGTTTTCCAACCTCTGGATGAGCAGAAACACTAATAGGGATAGAATCTTCATGTGGCGGGTACTACAACATGCACTTTACTCCAACGAACGAGCAGCCAGAATAGGACATGGAGACGGAAGGTGCCCAAGGGAATGCGAACAACTGGAATTTGTTCCTCACATCTTGTACGAATGCCCATTTGCGAAAAGTGTTTGGGGAGCTGCTGCTGGTCTGAAGTGGCCAAGGACAGAAACAACAAACATTTTTGTCCAGTCGAAGACCCTACTACAGCTCATCGAACTCGGACTGGCAACGATAAAAGGTAGCTCTATTCCTGCCCAATGGATGTTAGTGACAGAAATATGTAGACACTTATGGTTAAGTCGTAATCAGAAATACTTCTCGAATCTACAAGTAGAAGTTACTGTCCATAGCAGAGTTAGAAATACCCTTGATAAGGCTATTTCTCAATGGAAGGAGTCAGCAGCTGAACCTCCACCTAAACAATGGCTAATTACAAATCGCAAAAACGCTCCAAGAAGCCATTGCAACATCGATGAAAACACGTATTGAACGTTGGTTAGACTCGGTATTAAAAAATATACAGGTTCCAGAGGGAAGGTCGGAAGCCCCCCACACGAAGGAGGCAGCGACCGGACTGGACCGCACTCAACCCTCCCATGGGAGGGTTGAACATGTTTTAGGTTACTAGAAGCTCAACAGTCGCACGATGCAAAGGGATGGGCACCATCATGCTGGGAATCCTTTTTTTTAAACTTGGACTGCAGGAAGAAAACAGTGAACACCTGGGCCGGGCAGTAACGGATATCTTTCTAGGAACAGCAGCTGCTCCACCACCTGCGCCGGCCCAAACCCTCTCACTGTTTCCTTCCTGTTGTCTCTGCTAATTTTTAAAAAAATGTATTTTTCTGAACCTGGGTACGTGGGCCCTTGTTCTCGGGTATGACGGGTGTTTCCTCTTCCCTTCAGCTTCGTGTGCAGGTTGTGGACCGCAGGTTGTGAACGAGGGTCAGACACGGTCCCCCTTGCTTTCGGTCTCCGGTTGGCTTGGCGCTCGGCCGTTGGAGCGCGTCTAGCTGGTTTGTGCTTTGTCCGCCTCTGTGCGTTTTTTGCATGCTGGTTGTACTATGTTTTTTTCTTAGCGCTGGTGCGCAATAAACGGCTCTCCTGCAGTTTTCTGCAGCTTCCAACAAAAACTTAGTATACCAGTTATGGCATCATGTTCTTCAAAATTCCTGGTATATATAAATCTTGTTTTGGGTACCAGTCAGAGCAAACATAGTGGCCAAGGCGTGCCAAATAGTAGCAAAGTTCCCCTTCCCAATTCTTTGCTTCGTGGACCTGTTTGGACAGCCATGTTCAACACGAAAGTCAAACGTTTACTCAAGACGTTCATCTCTGAGAACTACATTGTGGTCCAGTCACAAATAATTAATGCATAAACTAACAATGACATTGCTCTTGTAGACTCTGCGTACACACAACCAGCAATATTACAAGTCTCCTGAAAGTTGAGCAAAAAGTTCAGGTGGTCCAAAACATGCAAGATGTTTTAAGCAATATCTGTTGTGGAGGTTGAGTTTTACAAACGGAAAACAAGCGTATACAATTCAGATGATTGAAATATGAGTAAATCCCTTCTTCACTGTTGAAATATATGTCTCAGCATGTCAACAATATTAAAGGTTCCAGGAGAAAATGTTGATCAATTTGTGGCAAAATTTTAGGCATTGGACAAGATCCAACAAGAATAGACACAAAGATTCCGTTGTGTAGTCTCGGGCTTGGACGGCGATATACACATGCCTTCTCTTTCCAAGTATGAACTGAATCTCGAACTGGCTAGTCTGGCAATCTTCGCATGCAAATGATCGTCACAAAACTTAAAACACCTCAATCCCTGTTTAGAACGCTATCCTTTTCTCGCAGTCCCCTGAGTACAGTCATTGCAGCTGCGAGATAATTACTTGCTTATTAGTCCTGTCGAGGGAGAAAAACAAATGGAAACGATTTATTACAAGTTTTGCCCCAAAAAAATGATCATGTACAGCGAGATGTCCATGAATGCTCAAGTCTCAATTCCTCGACAGACTCGCCCAGAGTAGCTGCTGGGTAGATCTGGCTCAGTCTAACTCTGCCGTAATCTCTTGGATTCTAAACGACGTGTAGTGCATACATCGGTGTGAAGTAGCAAGGAAACGCCTGAGTGAAGGTACATATGCCTAACACAGATAAAATTACCCCAGAATAGGCCAAATGGGGCAGTATTCTCAGAAGGAGGTACGCACGAATGCCGAGCACATATTAGTGCAGAACCGAGTGCTTTCAGGTGAGAATCCAAGCGAGAAAGGAGAGGAAGCTGAGCTGCCAGTCTCATGTGAAGATTGGAGCTTCTTGATTCTGTCTACAGATATTAACAGGAGCCTTCGGCTGTATATATGCGCTCTGCAAGGATGACGATGTGAAGACAGAGCCTAAAAAGATACCAGGCGGAGAAGCACTTGGGGTCGTACTGGGAAAATTTTTGGGAGATATGACATTCAGCTGTATATCAATTGAACCCCATTCCTGCCGACCACAACACAGAGATGGTGAGAATACGTTACATATTCTCTGTACTTCATGGATGGCAAAAGAATCCACGGACTGCTTTAGGTGAGCTCTTAACTACGGTACAAGATGTCGTCTCTAACAACTGCAAAGCCAGCCAGCCACCTTGACGATTGTGGGGTATGGAAGGTTTTGTCTATGGGCCTCGGTGGCAGAGAGTAAGAAAGGATTACCACAGAGTGCTCCACCACTGAAGAGGCGGGGGCGACGACCCCACTTAAAAAAAATTCCCCTACCGAGGTTGATAAGGGTCTCCTTCAAGGGTGGCGCTGATCATCTTCTTGCTTCCAGAGTGCCTTGTCTTTTTCAGTTTGCTTCTTACTGGGCCCTGCTTTCCTCGGTCTTCTATATGCCAGTGGACCTTCTCTCAATGCTGTGATCTCTTGCTTGAACGTCTTCAGCCTCTGGGGATTTTTTTGTGCCTTCTTCCTAATTGCCCGTAGTTGGCCCAAAGCAGCTTTCCTATCGTTCTCCTGTCTTTCGGTGTACTTTGCATTCAGTAGGTGTTTCATCTTCGCATACGTCTTCGAGTCAGGTCGTTGGCCGTTCTCACTCATCTCTCTCTCCCACTTGAAAGCACCGGTGAAGTCCCGAAGGCGAAGACTGGCATAAATCAACGTGCAGTACGTGAAGGAATCCGGTTTGTGGCCCGCAATTCTCATCTCCCTCACTATCTTCGGAAGTTTAGACTGCATTCCAGCTCTACCATACGCATTGAGGAGCATGTTGTAAGCCAAGAGATCCGGCTCCATTCCATTTGCTCTCATCGCAGCAAACACATCTCTGACTTCGTTGAACCGACCTTGCTTGGCGAACGCATCCATTAAGGTATTGTAAGTCACTTCAGTAAGTTCACAGCCTTCCTCCCTCATTGCCGTCCAAACCTTCAAGACCATGTCAACCCTTCCTGCTCTTCGGTATGCATCAAGCAGTGCCGTGTATGTTTCAATGGTTGGCTTCAAGCCTTCTTGCAGCATGTCTGCGAAAGTCTTCTCGGCTCTGTCATGCCAACCTCCTTCAGAATAAGCGTTGATCAGGGCAGTGTAAGTGTGAGTGGTAGGTATGATGCCAATCTTTCTCATCCTGAGAAACACGTTCACAGCTTTCTCAGTAAGCTGTTGCTTTCCATAAGCTCTTATAAGAGAAGTAAAGGTGTACACGTCCGGTTTCAGTCCTTGCCTTTGCATATCCAGCATAAGCTCCTCTGCAACATCACACTGACCATTCTTACCGTAACCATTTATCAGAGAGTTGTAGGTGGATGCTGTTGGTTGCAAGCCTCTGCTTGTCATTTCCAAGAGAAGGCCTTCTGCTTCCTCCAGCTGGCCTGCCTTACCATAAGCGTCGATCAAAGTGTTGTAAATGATCACGTTTGGCTTGAGACCCATTTTCTCCATGGATACAGAAATCAGAGAAGCTTGCTTGTGGTATCCGCCATAGCAGAACGCTTTTATGATATTACCAAACACAGCCAAATCAGGATTCACGCCATTGGCGAGCATGTCATCAAACACACTCCACACTCTCTGCACTGTTTCCGTCTCTTTCTGCGTTGCTGTTATCAACACACTGTAGGTGACAGTGTCTCGTTCTACCTTCCTTTGTTTCATGTCTTCAAGAACTGCGGTTATTGAATCTCCCCTGCGTAACATCAGATGAGTCCGTCAATTACAGTAGACATCATTCTCCTTCCAAATTGGATCTAATCAAGAACAGTAGGATCAGTGGGCGTACAAGGGTTGGAGTCTTCTCCGCATTCACAACTTTATTGAAGTGTAAGAGACGCAAGGAACGAGGGACTAGCCTTACCTGAACTTGATCTAAAGAACGTCTGAACCTTGAGCTATTTCCACCAACTAAGCACCAAATCAGGCGACGGTTCCCGTACATATGCAGGATATATCTCACAGGAGATGGAACTATCAGATATTTCAGGTTGTCATATGCTCTACGTAAATAAATATGAACTTCCGTGCATAGTCCCCAAAATACATCCTTCTTGCATCGTAGATAACAGTGCATGCGAATGCTCAAACACAGATAGAAAATGTCAGATGGTTTTCAGGACTTGAAAGTGATTTTACCTGTCACATCTAGCGAGAGCTGCAATTAAGGCGTTGTAGACTTGGACAGCATGAAACTTACTGTCAGCAGGCATATTTCTGTACAAGGTGAGAGCCTCATCCACCATCGCCACCTTACCAAGGTAAGTAAAGACGATACAAAAGCTTCGGGAATCAAGAAGGCAAGGATCGTGTAGACGCATCCACTGAAATAATGAAATTAAGGGCCAGGTCATCTGCTCGGCAGCTAGGGCCCTCAACATTAAATTTCCGTCTTTAGTCGATACTTTGCCCCGAAATGGTTTCATGAACTCTTCTAAGGTACTGTTCTGTGGCAATTTTTTCGCAAGGTTTAACACATCCTCCACCAGTCCTCCACGTTCAGTGACATCATCACAAGGTGCTGGCTTTTCCTGAGCGTTGGAAGGCAATTCAAAGTTCAGAAGGGCCGAATGATGCGAGTTAGTCTCACTGTCCTCTTCTCGAAGTAAATTCGGGGCATTCTTCTGCTTAACTGGAGCATCTCTAGAGATAGTACTTTTGCCAAAGACAGATTGATGTTCCACCCGAGTGATACGCGTTTTGCCATCACCCCAATTCTTACTACGCTCGCCCAAAAAATCAAGCAGCAAGTCCTGGACAGGCTCGTCTTCTGCGTCTGCCTCAGGCTCTCCTATAGACGAAGATGTCGAAAAATCAGTTTTATCTCCGAGCTCCTTAACTCCTGATTGCTGTTCTTCAATCTTGTATTCGTGATCCCGAGTACTGGATGGACTGTGAAGGATACTCGGGTGCATTCTTTCAGCTCCTATCTCAGCTTGACACCGCCCTTCAACTTCAGGCGCTTCTCTTCCCCGTGGGCTTGAGGGCATCCAGCTCTGCAAGTCATTGCCCCCATTCATATACTTACTTCTACCCTGCAACAGGCTCGTCCCATTCGCAGCAGAAGGGCTACTCGAACGACCTCGTGAGTCTTCCTGGACTCCTTCTCGAACAGAAGGGCGAGAATCGCTGACAGAACACTGCAAATTGCTGTCTTCGAGAGCTGCAAGCGCCCCTCGACTTCCTCCAGTGGGCTGTGAAGTTTTCTCAGAAATTAATGGGTCCTCGGCATGCTTCTCAGCATCCTTGTCGACGAGACCCGCTCCTTCGTCCAATAACCGGGGATCATCGTCGTGAATCAGATTGCTGTCTAATCCTTGAGTCTTTGGAGTCCTGCCCTCCAAAGAGTGTAAAAAAATTGAAGTTTCATATCCCACCCCAGAGGGTGGATTTGATCTGGCAGTCACTGAGAGGCGAAGTGCTGGCAGAGGCAGGAACCGGGAGGCGGGCATAAATGGCGGACCCACGCCCGTCACGGGTGGACAACACCGAGAATTCAAGCCAGGAAAGCCATGGCGTCTGCGGAGAAGATTTTCGCCCACTTGAGCAGCTGAAGCAACAAGACCTGCCCCCAAGGGCAGGACGAGAAGAGGCACCATCGCCTCCAACACTGCAAACTTGTTCTACATACCAATCATACAGATGCCGGTTCTAGTCCGTTCTGATCTCCTCCGCCCGAACACAATTCGCATGAAAATCCGGACTATAATTCGATGCAGAAACTATAACGTCGGCGGTTGTAAAACACAAAAAACCCATACAGCAGAACGGGAGAGTCAACCGAGAGAGAGCAAACATCGCCTGCGGAACGACATTCGTCTCTCGTGGCGCACGCACGATCTCGGGAGCGATCTCTGCAAGTGAAGAAAAATGAACTGATTGATTATATACCGTCGTTGCGTCACGGGCATCAGAACTCTGAACCGAAAATGAATGTCTGCGGAAACCAGTCGGATTTCACATCCTCTGCATCAATCCTAACACCGACCTCGCATTTGAGAATCCAGCAGCCAGCAATTCTCGCAGCTGACCAAAAACGAAAACCCCTCCCTGACCCCGCACCGACCTGTCATGCGAATTATTTCGAATTCCACACCATGACGCACTCACGCAGCACAAGCCATAATCAAAATCCGCCCGAGCATTTCGAACCACGGCGTTCTGCCCAGCGCCATCGCCATCGCCAGCACGAAACCGGATAATGGGTTCGAACCAATATTCCGCCGGAGTTCGTGGGCACGCCGACTCAGTTTCGGGGGGGTAACTACGGTCCGGTACAGCGCAGTATCGCTGCAGCTCGATGGCACTCAGTGGAGAGCGGGCGATCCGACGTGGGGGGCAATAGGGGAATCTCCACAATGGTTCCCGAAACCTGCTGGACGAAGAATGGTGCCAGTTGGTCGGGCGAGTGGGAACCAGCGACCGGGGAAAGCCGGTCGAGGATGACCTGCTTCACCGGGCGTACGAATTTTCCTCCTTTGTAGGAAGAGTTCCGAGTGCGGAGGCGGAGACAAGATTCCGTTCGGACCCCCGGCTCCGAGAGGCAAATTTCCTGGCCACTGGGCATCGGATTGCAGCAGCGCTCGCTCGCTTTCTCGATTCCAATTAGAAGGTTCGGAACAACATGAGTCTCAGCTCACTTTCCATTCGGGCGGTGCGGTCGCGCTCGTCTGGGTGATATTTGGTTTGTCTTGCTGCGAAAGAATCCGGTCCTCGAATTACGCTCGAGACTTTGGAAATTTGAGCTAGCTGCAATGGCTCCGGGGCCTCCGAAGAGAGGCAATCCCAAGGCCAAATCTAAGAAGGCTCTGTCAGTCGACTTCAAGGTTTTTCCCCACACCCCCACCCCGTTCACAATTTCGGTCGGTCTGTCTTAGTTTCTCGGTCAATGTGGGGGTTAGCTCTGGCGGCAAGGGTTTTGGGGACGAGGGTAGTTTTATTTTCGGTGTTTTACGTTATGGCGTGGGGAATTCTGTGTAGGCTATCTCTCACTTGTACATTTGAGCTGGTGGGAAGTTTAGATGCTGTGTTCATCCCCATAGACTTGAGGTCCAGTTTATTTCTGAGAGATTTTTAAAATCCGTTTGCAACGGCCTGACTCATGGACTTTGTTTGATAGTGCTAATGTGCCAATGTCCGGTATTTATTTTCTGGGCTTTCCAGTCATGCGTTGTTATTCTTCCGACTTTGGGTTTGTTTACTCCGGGGGTAGAAATCGCTACGAGGATATCTTTCATATTTAAGAGTAGAACAAAAATTTATCTCCTCTGTCTGTCTGTAAACTCTTGACGTCGATAAGTCTGAATTTGGGCTTTGGAGATTTTTGGTGGAACAAGGAGGCTCTATTTTGGTGATTTCATTCTTCTGTTTTTCTTTTGGTTACGCTCTTGTTTGTATGCTCACCTCTCTCCGATGCAGTCTTTCTTCCGAGGTCGAGAGTGCAATTTCCATCTCAGTTATGGTAACAGACTGCAGATGATGCTTGATGCGTACAGAAAGTGAAGACGAAGGTTGGAAGAAAGCTCGCGCCGGCCAAAAACTCAACAAAGATCGACTTTCAAGCTAGAGGTTAGTTGGATCTTTGCTGCACATCGCATGTTGTAGCCAGCAATGAAACAGGTCGGATGGAAGTTGACTTCTCCTATTTTCCTCGCATGCAGGCATTGTGGTACCTGGTCAAAGTGTTGCTCAAGATAAATCAGGCTTGGCTGTAAATCAGCGGAAGCAGACATTAAAAGAGCTTCTCGCCCAGACTACTCACTACAGCGAACGTACTCGGAAAGGTGAAGCAAGACAACCATGCATTGCTTGTAATGCATATCTGTATTCCAGAAACAGACTACACATTGTTATGAGATGAAAGAAGATTTCTATACAACAATCCGAATTTTTCCAAAAAAAATTCAACCTTGTTATTCATCTTGACACGTGCTTGACCATAAAGTTGCTGTGAATAGTATTATACATTCGCTTACATATCATCAAGAATCATGATTTAATAGATGAAGTCCTTGTTAAGCATATCAACTACCAAATATCACTCATGCGGATCTTTAGTATACTGCAAAGCAGAATTGGAATCTTCAGCACATGTCGCAAGAGTTATTCTCACGGTGCACGGGAGCTCTCTTGTACGTTTCCGCTTCAATCTTAATTCCTTCATGTTTCAGCTTCTATCTTACTTTTCGTGTTCATGGCTGGCGTGCAGATGCATTGATGGGCTTGAAGGATTTATTTGGAAGGCATCAAAAAGAGCTAGTTATGCACGCTGTGGTAGTCATAGAGAAGCTTTTTCCGCGGGTCACCGACACCGATAAGAATGTGCGGCAAGCCTTCGTTGCCCTCTTGCGTACATCAATCCTTCCACATTTACCTCAGGTTTAGTTCTTCTCCCTTATACAAAGTATCAGCTTCTTTCTCTATTCTGAACAAGTTTTTAGACCCTCCGCTTGAAGAACACATTATCTCTGAAACACTGTAGGATGAATCCCTGTGATGCTTCGAATTTGGGAGGAAAGTAAGGTCTGCCGTTCGTATTTTGACTTCATTTCGCTCAATTGAATTTTGCAGACCATGATGAAGCCGCTGATACCAGTAATAATGGCTCATGTCTGTAGTGCAATGACGCATTTGGTGATTGATATCCGTGTGTCAGCCTGTTCCTTTCTAGAACTGCTTATGCAACACTGTTCAAATCTCATCTTGCCATTCTTTTCAGACCAGGTAACATTTTAACCTCACGTTGGTCAGAATTTTCGAGAACTTGCTTTTAAATGATTTCATTCATCTTTACCAGCTTTGTTTCTTGTTGAAATATGCAAATTGGAATCTTCATATTTTCTTGGTATGTCTGCAGATTGTGCAGCACTACGTCAGTCTTTTAGGGAAAGGTGGAATTGCTGGGCAATCCGAATCTAGGCTCGTCAATGTGCTCGGCAGCTTGGAGCACTTTTTGTCTGCACTAAAGCGTAATACTGTCAGTCTCCCTTCAGGAGCTTCTTGTGCTACTCATACATGGGGTGCCCAATTGAATCTAAACCATCAGGTTCTACCTTTTTCCATAGCTGGAAAAAATGCATATCCTTTTGCCAAAGCTGAAAGCTCTCAAATGTTGTATGCTTCATTCTAATCAGGTCCTTGTAGTACATATGAAGTAGATAGACGTGTTTTCAGACGTGTTTTGGTCTCCTTGCATTTGAACGCCCTGCGATTGATCATGTATAATATTAGCTGTAATCAGAGATGCCCAAGTCAAAGCTCAGGACCTTATATATTGTCTTTGCGAAGGCTTGACTGACATTTTAGTATGGTTCTTTCGTGTCACAGGCTTTACATGCATATAAAAGTGCAGTACCGGAGGGGAATCATACTTTGGGCTTGTTTGCACAAGAAAGTCAATGGCACCAATCTTCCAAACAAGAGACCCCTTCGAAAGGTAAGATGCTTACCAGTTCATTACTAGATCGTGCATGAACACGTGCAAATTTTTTTTAAAAATTGCACATTTGCATTTGACATTCTATTTAGGCTGAACTTTTCCTATGTGATCATTTTCAATCTAGGAGGTTTCCAATGGTTGAAAGTGTTGGAGTGACTTTCTCTTTAAGCAGGGGTATCGAAAACACAGCCATCAACTACGCCAACTAAAAGTGTGCAACGTATACAAAACACAGGTGTGCTAGCTAACCGCACGAGTCGTCATACCTTAGTGATGGTCCGGTAGGTAGAACTGACGCATTTCTCTTGTGAGCTAAATGCTCTATTAGTGTGCTCAAGATCTTCGAACTTCTCCCGCACGTAACTGTAAATCATTAGTAGTAGCTATTGGCCAAGTACACTTGCACACCAGACCAATCAGTTGTAATTAGGAGTTATGTTTCTGATTGTGCAATTCCTTTTACAGGAGTTCTTGGCCAAGTTCCGTACGCAGCCACTCCACTTGTAGCTGTCTTGCTGGATTGCTGGGCTGAGTGGTGTCCACTGGTGAAGGGACCAAACCCCGATGCTACCAGCCTAGAATGTCTGGTTATCATCACCCGCTGTCTTTGTCATATCTTCCAAACCATAACAAGTGAAGCTGCATCCAACTCTTCTTCAAAGGATGTGAGTTCTACTACTCCTCTAAGTGTGCCGGATCATGGGTCAGAAGAATGGGAAACTCATCTGTGCATGCAGCAGCAATTTCTTCCAGCATTGTGTCGACATCTGCTCGGCTCTTTCCCGTGCACTGCACCAGCCGTCCGTCTTACACCTAAGGTATGACTCGCTCGTATTATGATACGAGCAACGTGTTTTGATCGGTGCAGTGAAGTTGAGGCTTCAAGCTCGCTTCTCATAAGTACACTGATGTTTTTTACTTAGGAGTACGTTAGCTGGCACTGGATATGAGGTGTGGTTCGTACCTTAGCTATGGATAACTTCCTGCTCGAACTTCTCTAGACTTGCAGCGAAGACCAGTCCGTTGATGTTTTCTGTAATATGGAGTTCCTCCTGTTTTTGGTCTCTGATGACATCATGCGGGAGGAAGTTATTTTGTCTCCTTTAGCTGAATCTAGAGTGACGGTGCCATTATGTTCATTTGCCAGGTTATCCTGCTTGCATTGAGGTTTGAATACTTTTCAATAGAATATGAACTGTGCTTTTGGATTTTCCAGGTTGAAGAAGGGCTAGTTGCCCTGAATATGGGGGTGTGTGAAGTTCTTCTACAATTTTTCCCGACCAGTTTCCTTGAGACGAAAGATACTTTTGTGAACGTTGTCCTCCAATGCATCGCGGATGCCCTTCATGGAACTGTGAGTATACCTTAAAGTAAACCTTTTATTCGTTTTATTTTTCTTTGACCCGTTCTGCTGCAAAGAGTGGAGCAATGGTACCAAAGGTCGTGCGGAAGCGGCTGGATAAGGCAGTAGTCGCAACATCGCTTGTTAGATTTTAACGCGCCTTTGTTATTACTATTGTTTTTATAGTTAGGCTCATATTTATTTATTTATAATTTTTTTTGGTTTGGTCGGCTTTTACAATCTAAACATCTCTGCAACTTTGATCTTGCAGATGTTGCCGGCGTCCGAGTATTCCTCGGGTTTCTCAGATCCTAAGCTTGCAGAGATACATTGCAAATATCTAGTCCAGTATATCCCCGGCCTAGTTACATGTGTACCGTCCGACTGGGTGTCGCCACTCTTGGAAGTAATCCACGTTATTTCACATTCACGTCCTTGAAGTTTTTATTTTGCATAAGAGTATGCTTCTCGTGAACAAGTATCTATCTAACGTCATGGTTGGGTCCTAGTTGTTCAATGGAGCATGTGTTGGATAAAACTTTCAATTCCATATGTCGAAGTAGTTGTACTGTCGATATGTAGTAAAGTAGAGTCTCTGTATCGGGGACTTGGTAGGTTAGGAGTGACCAATGTGCCAATTCGATGTTCCGAATCTATGAATGTTCTGAACAGGTATATTGGCGTAACCAATTCGTCTCATTCTTTTGTGTTGCAGGCATTTACACATGTCTTCAAGTCATGTAACTCTCGGTCAAACCTTAAGTTGGTCTGCCTTTCCTCAATGTCGGAGGTGTTACTTCCTGTAAGTCTATCAAACCGAAGCCGACTAGCGTAGGTGTCTGTTGTCTCTTTTGCTCTATGATTCTCCTATTTGCTCTTTAAATTTGTGATGTTCACGTTCCGTTCTCGTTTTCTAACATTTAAACTTTTAAAGCTCGGAGACATAAAGGTGCATAAAGTTTGCCACCGCCTCATCAGCACAAATCTGATTTTAGACCTTTCCGTTTCGTTTCGTTTGTCTCCTCATGACGTAATGCCGACTGAAGATACATACTTCTTCTTATGACGTGAAATTGCAATGTCATTGTATGGCAGGGAAGAAACTCTGGTGGAAAGAGGAAGCTACAACAAACACTAGTGCCTGTAGAATACCAGTCTCAATGGTTGGAGTCTCTTCCAAAGCTTCTATGGGAATTAAAGTCTTCTCATCCAAATATTTCTCAGGTATGTCCCTTTTTGCATGTTTTCTTTCAGTAAGGTTTTGATCTTTCTATTTGGATCACCACGAACTCATATTAAGATATCAGGGCATCATGAGTGGATACATGAACTACTATTATTCAGTTGTCGTTGGTTATATCGCTTTTCGAGCATTCTACTTATATAAAGGACCAATCTGAGGAACAAGACCAGCAGTTGACTTGGGATGATTTAGCTATACTCCGCATAAATTGGGAGAAACAGGTCAGAGGGAGTACCAAATTTCTACGGTGTTAAGACATTACAACTAGAAAAAACATTAAGTTCTCCTCCACACTACTGCGCCCTTAGAGCAGCATTATGGATGCCTATAGCATACAACGGTTTAAAATCTTAATATAGGCAGTTTGTGAACTTTTTTGCCTCATGCCTGCAAGCTTCGAATTTGCTCATGTGAATAATTTATAAGAGACCCTCTTTACTCAATTAGTCTTACCTCGTTTAACTCCCCCCTCCTCACTTCTTCTTCATTTATCACTAGCACCGGCCAGTGAGAACCCTGGGTCTAAGATTTTTAGGCTAGGAATTGTAAAACATGCGGTTAATCACAAGTCAGAAATATATTTGGGCCGTATTGAATTTTTAATTATCTGAAGGAAATTTGTCTGACTATGACATTTGTCATTCAGACTAAGTTCACTTTAAATATGTAATGGTCGAAACACTTGTTTCACCCTGGCAAGCTGCAGTACTTCAATATATTTTCCTGTCCATCATTGAGCTGAATGTCCTGTACATCAAACAGGCTGTGTTGGAGATGTTGCTACACCTAGGCCGGTCATCTCCTGATGGATCGCCTCTTGCTGAGAGATATACTGGTCTACAACAAGCAATGGTTCCTTTTTTTTGCACCTTCTTGAAACAGCGCGATGAATGTCAGTAATTTTCCTTCTTTGTTTCAATATTTTGACGTTATTCCTTTCTCTAAAAGTTCGTATTAAGTTCAGTTATTTACTGTATCAGAGGTCAATCTAATTCTGAAATATGCCTTCGACTTTTTAGCCTGCGAATTTACTGTTTCAAAGGCTTCGGATATCTCATGTGTTTTGCAGCTCGGTGTTTATATGGACCATTTATAAATCTACCCAAACCTTGCCAAGAGCTTGCAACGGATTTGCTGTTTTACTACACCAGCTTCTCTCCTTTGTTCCTGAAGGTTTTGGCTCAATGTTGTCTTTGTAAGTAACAAACCGACACAACAGTCGTGAACGGTTCTCGCAATTTGATAGACATCAGTCAGAGACTTTCTTGAGGTTTTTCTTGAGTGTTTTCATAAAGTTTCAGGAGAAATGGTTTGTCTGTGATGCATAAATCCCATGTGGGCTTATTATGATTTTCTATAATTGTGAAGCTGAAATGTATACTTTCTGCCTGTGGATATGTAGTCACACTTGTTGCGGTAGAAAGCAAGTCTGACTGCTATATATATTTCACTAGACGTGAGCGTGACACCGACATGAGTTCTGATAAGTGGGAGAAAAGATTTCTATTATCAATTTTTCAAGCTGTCCTTTATTCTAATGCTGAAGTACATGTTTTTGTAAAGGTCCTGAGTTAGATGTTTCAGTTGCTGTGCGAATCGTGGAAGTTCTGCAACAAGCGTTTTGTAAAGGAGCAGTAGAACTTTCCGAACATCTGAGTTTTTTGTTAACGCTTTTGATGGGGCGATTAACTTCACAGAGTAAGAACTATTGTCCCTGATGATACTTGTTTTCCGTTTTTTTAGCGTCTGAAGATTTTTGGTAAATAGATGATGTAGATAACATCTCCGTTCTCATAAACAGCTCATGGCTGGGTGATTGAAGTATATACGGTAGAGGTAACGATAGAACAGACAGGTCAATTCTGTTCACTCTTCCCGTCTTTCGGTAGGGTACTCTTGGATTCAATAGGTGCAATTTCTAAAGTATCAAGTGCCTCTGGCTAATGCTGTTTAACAGAGAAAGGATTTTAAGGAGTTGAATGTTTTTCTGGCTCAGCTGGTAGGACAAAGAAGAAGCCTCAAGCAGAAACAGAGGCTGGGGCTACAGGGAGTGGTGAGCGTCAGGCCGATTCGAGGTTGGAGATTCAAAAAAGGCACAATGTTCTTGTAGGAGTTGTCTGTGCGTGTCTTGCACAACTAGGAGACGGTCATGTCCTATTGCAACTGATCGGACCGTCGATTCGACAAGAGCTTGTAAGTCGAATGGTGATAGCCGTCTGAATTTCTGAGCATCAACCGCGAAGTAGAAAAGATGTCAAGAGAAACTTGCTCCTTGGACCTTAGTATATTGGTTTTCGGTACAGAAGCCGACTCCAAACTGATGAAGTTCGCTCGTTGGCTGAATCCTGATCAGGAAGAACAGACCCGGCTAGATGTCGTTCAAGGGCTGTTCAGGGTAGTCGCCGTCCTCAGTCACAAAGACCAAGATTCGGATGGAGTATTCTTACCGGAGCCACTTAAGGATCTGTTTCCGAAGACTGCTGCTGACTTTCTCATATCTGTCGCTCTGGTACAGTACAATATGCTTAGTTTGGACCTGGGTGATGATGTCGATCTTTACTGAACATGCAATCACTTCCAGCAAATTTCAGATGCTCTTTAATCTGTCTTCTGTGTATTGTTTCTCATCGATATTGGGTTCTAATACCAGAGAATAACTTGTAAAGTTTGATGGAAAGAGGGCGAAAGTTTGTCGTTGTATAATAAATTGCCCGGTTTTGCTTGCAGATGCACGATATAAATGGAGGATCGGGAAATTTGTTGTTGTGTAGCTCAGCAAAACGACCTTGCATGATGCTGATGACGAAAAGCCCAAAGTTTACGCGTGCGGTATTGAAGTTTCTGCACGAAGTTCTTCTCAAAGGTTCTTCTCTTCTCTCCAGTAATAGAGTTCTATTGATTTCTTTGTGGATACAAGTCCTACAAAAGCATGTTTTTTCGATCAGATATTCTGACAGCTGGTCAGCTGTTTAATACAAGTATGAGGATGTTGAGACGATAACCTCCAAAGGTTTAGCCCTGCGAAGTGCACATTAAAAATCCGTGAGGAGGAGGTCTGACCATTTGGAATATCATGTCAACACGAGATGAATAAAATTGGTTCAGCTTGAGGGAGAAACCTGCCAAACCTTCTGTATTCGACTTTTCTGTTATCTTGAGATACATGTTCTTAACCGCAAGTCTTGACGAAACAGATAGTTTTTGCTGGGATGTTTACTGAGCTTGGATGGTCCATGTTCCAGAAGTAAATTCACCAAGCTTGAAGATCCAAAAGGAAAGAGTTGCGGCCGCTCAGGTTATTTTGGAGATGCTGAAAACGGAGAAGCTTGATCGTTGCTTGTCTAGCGCCAAAGATCTATTCAAGGCAGTTTTGAAGACCTTAGAGCAACTAGTTTTGAAAGTATTCGAGGTATTTCTGGAACCTGATTTATCTTCCTGTAGCAAAGCATTCTCCAAGTGTTTTTCATGGAGTAAATATTATGCAAGGTTCGAGAATGTCGAGAGACTAATAACGAGGTGTGGACTGTCTTCAACAGGTGGACGGTGGCATACACAGTTCCGAAGGAAGGGATCTCAAAAGATTACACGAACAGCTATTGACCGCAACTAACGCTCAGTTTGGAAGTGAATTTGCCGCCTCATGAGTTTGTAAGCTAGGGAAAAGATACATGTACACACAACATTTTGAGTTGATTCTTTGGGTTTTTTATGTTGATTCATGAAGATCGGAGCGAGGCAAGCCCACTAAGGAATGGAATTGCCCTCATACAAAAACAGACATGAGGGAATGTGAGGAGGATAACAATTTTGCCGGTCTTGAGTGAGAGCAGTCCTTCCTTCATTCCCAACGACTTACGTAGGAAGATTTGAAGTAGAACTAGAGATCCACTGTAACATATGATTTTTCAAGAACCTTCTTTAAATTTGATGGTTCTAACACACTTTCAGGTATCCTCAGTTTTGCTTTGGTCAATTTTGACATGGTCCTTCTTTTGTTGACCATAGCACCAATCTTAAAAGAGACAATTGTATGCTGCGGAAAGCGAGGGTGTGGACATGTCCAATAACGGAAATGCAACCGAGATCAAGTCACATGACGTACACACTGGATATGGTTGTATTCATGCACAGTGCCTCAGTACAAACGTGAAGTCGTCATCTGGTTGATGTGTAGACCGGCAGGACAGCCCTGTTAAAAATTATCTGAAAAAGGCGTAATCTACAGCATTCATCCACAGGATGAAACAAACAGATATCAGCAGAAGGTACTCAGCCCCGCCATTAGCAAGAAATATGTCATGGACTGACTGGCCAGTACACACAGAATAGGGAGACTGACTGGTATGGAGACTTGCATTTTACGAAATCTCCTGCCATGGATGTTTGGGTTGTCCTTTCTGTATGCAGGGCTCCAAGATCTAAGGGCTACCGTACAGAGAGGATGTATTGACAGTACGGGAAGGGATTGCTGACATGTTACTGACATTAATTGACGAGGAATAATGTTAAACAATCCTACCTAATGGCAATGCCATGGGGGACCAGGGTGCCCGTGGAGTACCTGGATACATGAACTGCTACGAGTACTCTGAATCACGGTTCCTTGAAGGCCGTCTGCTCTAATCTAATTTTACTTGGTCCCACTTTCCATCCTAATCTGTATATATTTAGATTTCAAGGACGCTCTGATCGGATTTGTTTGATTTGCTGGACATCTATAGCAGATGGACCTACTTCCACAGCTACCGTTCTCATCATCTAAGGGTAGGTTCAACATCCAGAGCCATCCTGGAAGAATTGCAGAGATTGAAGCAGGCTTCGTCAAGACGGAAGGTTGTGTATATAGACTGCATCACAATTTCGCAAATTGTGGAACGCACGATGCAATTGACACGATGAAACGGACTGATGGAGTAAGCCGCATCACTCCCATCATCAGGTTTGATCATGATAGAACAGACCATGAAGTCCATAATCAATGTTGTATGCAGGCATTTCTACCAACCTCTTGAACGAAAGTAACATAGTCATTAACATCATGAATGGCTACACTACTAACTCTTAAATATTTCATACAAGGAGAGCAAGTTAGAATTTATTGGCTAAATCAAACCGTGCTTTCAAGTACCTTTCGACCAATTATTGCCCATAATCTATGTGGCATAAACTTTCTTGACAAGTGGTGCGTCAAAGAACTAGAGTTTTTTTACCTTGCTGAAACAAACTACATGATGTGTTCGTCAAGAGAAATGTACTTCACTTATAACCTCGTGTCCATCCATATCTTGATGTTGTGGTCTATTAAGCTTCAGGTACACTTCAACACAAATGATTTTCTGGATTATGCTACAGGATTTCAGCTATTATAAAGTAAAGAGTTTTTTGGCTTAATGGTTTGTCACGTCTCCAAGCTTGTTGAAGATGAACAGCAGCTAAAACAACACTTAGGTCTGTCCTACCTTGTTTTTATGTGCATTGTGGATGCTTACACAGCAGTAAAAAAATTTGGTCTCGATCTATTGGCTTTGAGTTGGATGTCTCTGATATGGCATGTGAACGGATGCATGCATGTCATTATCTCTTCAAAGGCTTGAGTTAGACCCTTTTGCTTCTTTCATCAAGTTGTGTCGCTCAGTAGGTTAGCTCGATCGTATTCACCTTCTGTGATATATTTGGATAAGAGTAATCAAGGACTATGTTCATAGAGGGTGTTCTAATTATGTATAATATTATTTTATTGAAGATATAAATATATAAATCATATGCAATAGACATGTATATACCTTTATTTATTTATTTATATAGACTCAGATGTATTTACAGTAACCATAATCATCAAAACTTTCGATGACCAGTTCACAATTCGATTGGCCTTAGTGCTTACTAAGGCCAATCAACTGAAAGCCATAAAAACCACAATAAAACCAATGGAAACATTCTTATCAAGTGATAAGAATGTTTTCACTGTCCTGCAGTGATCAGAAAACATTCACTGAAAACTGGATCACAGATCACAGATCACTGGACAGGCCTACAGCGCGTCAGGTACCTGTGAGTTCAGTTAGTCCTTCGAGTGGACGCCCTTGAAGGTCGGCATTGTGTAGGTTTGGGACAGTTGAGCCAGGCTTTGAGCCCACGAGCGGGGACGGTGCCGCCCCTCCAGAGGCAGGTGGGAGCCTCATGCTCAGCGTGCGTGCGTACGTCCGTCACTCTGACTTACTTAGGATTGACTGACGGATTTTACCTCCGGACGGCCGCATTTATATCATTTCCATTTACTCGTGTAGAGTCCAAAAAATATCAAACTACACTCTCACATTTATATTTTTGTTCTGGAATATTATTGGCCAATTCTGAAGTAGATGTTGCTCTACATGATAACATGAATGACCGCGACATGTTTCTGGAGACCAGCTTCAAATTCATCATCTTGCCAGTTATTTGTTCAAGTTTGTTAATGGAGTGCAGCAAAATGTTCTGTGGCTCGTACATATTGTAATAAAATCGGAATCCATATACCAATCACCGAACGCTTCATCGCATTTAAATCCATGGAGTTGTCTACACGTAGAGTACACCAGGCCTTGCTCTCGACCTGATGACGACGACGACGACTACTTCTTGACCTGGCCGTGGCCTGATGGTCTTATACAGGAGTAAGTAGTTCATGCGTTCATGCAATTCTATTCACTAGCTAATAATTAAGATTATGGGGTCACAGATACGAACTTAAATAGCATTCTAGGATATGGTGCGTTTGTCAGAGCGTCCCCCTTCTGCAGCAGTTCCTCGCTGGAGGGTGATTACGATCATCTTCAACCGAGATGACGTGAATCTGTGAAAATTGATGACTTTCATGTCGTTGTTGGGAAGTGAAAGTGACCTGAGATCGATCTCGGAGATCGATCGGAGAGCTGGAGCTTACACAGGAGAAAATGGCATCGAACGATTCGGATTCGACCGCACAAGAGGTTGCCAAGTCCGAACAGAGTGGTGGCTCCAGAGTCACTCTTGCGTCCAGCTTGAGGCTTCTGAGCCGGGGCCTGTGACTGTGCACACACTCGGTCGGGTACAGGAGGAAGAAGTTCATGGCGTTGATTCTCGTTGCTCGTCACGTGTGTCGCACTGGTTGGACGTGTGATCAGTTTCTGGTTCCGGAACCTCATGCATGCGGCATCGGTTTGAGCGTGTGCCGAGCAGACTCTGTACTGACGACGAGTCCGTCGCACGTACGACGTCCTTCACATCAATGTCCTTCTGGACAAGATATTCATCGCAGAGAGAGAGAGAGGGAGGGAGGGGGATGGAAGATGCCTCGAAGCCCTCCTGCACGGAAGTGCAGGGCGAGCAAGCTAAGGACGAGAATCCCAAACCATGTTACAAGAAGAAGAATCGTCCCTGAACTATAACATCGTGCGAGTCCTCATCTGCCTCAGCAACAACCCTCCCGGGGCGGAAGCTGACATCGCCCACTCGTCTCGTCTCGTCTCGTCTCGTCGTGGCAAGGCTCAGGCAAGAGATCCAGAAACTGTGTCAGGAGGACGGAGGACGAGCATTTCAATTCCATAAAGATCCATAGCTTCTCGGCCTTCTCTTGTCTTCAATCCCACTCGTCTGCACTCGAGCGAGCGAGTGGTGAGAGGTGTCGGGCCCAGACAGACCAGAAAGGATCGCTTTGCTGTAGTTTGGAAAAGTGGAGTTGTTCAGGAAGCTCAAGAAGCTCGGAGCCAAAATGGGGCTCACTTTCACCAAGCTGTTCCAGCGGTTTTTTGCCAAGAAGGAGATGCGAATTTTGATGGTGGGTCTGGATGCGGCCGGAAAGACGACGATTTTGTACAAGCTGAAGCTGGGAGAGATCGTGACCACCATTCCGACGATCGGCTTCAACGTGGAGACGGTGGAGTACAAGAACATCAGCTTCACGGTCTGGGATGTGGGAGGTCAGGACAAGATCCGGCCTCTGTGGAAGCACTACTTCCAGAACACTCAGGGCTTGATTTTCGTGGTGGACAGCAACGACAGAGATCGTGTTACCGAAGCCCGTGACGAGCTGCACAGAATGGTGAATGAAGATGAGCTTCGTGATGCAGTGCTGCTGGTTTTTGCCAACAAGCAGGATCTGCCCAATGCTATGAACGCTGCCGAGGTCACCGACAAGCTGGGCCTGCACTCGCTGCGCCAGCGCCATTGGTACATTCAGAGCACCTGTGCCACCTCCGGCGAGGGCATGTACGAAGGCCTCGACTGGCTGTCCAGCAACATTGCCAACAGCTGATTCTGTTCGCTGCAACGACCTTCATGCCTGCCCCTTCACGAGGTCGCCCAGGCCATCATCGTCTGCCAGTAGTGGCCGGGGTTTTTTCAATATGGACCTGGATCTGAAGCATCGTTCAGCAGCAGCAGCAGCAGCTCCGAGACAGTCAGATTGTCGTATCTAGTGCTGCCCAATGTCTGCAGATTTGTGTGTCTATGGTGTGGAGACTTCCTGCAGTGGATAGTCTGACGGCTATGAGCAGTGACAAACGACTCGCTTGTACACTGTGGCGAGTTTCTCTTTCATTAGATCTCCTCGATCGATGGATGCGCTGAAAAGGCTTCTATCCATGTCCTGTCCTCGTTTGCTCGACGATCGAAATTCGGAAAAGAGCTGAAAAGTTCATGTAGATTATGAAATGCTTGTACCGGATGAAGAGATGGGAACGTTCTAGAGCTTTGATGCACACTAGTACAGTCCTCTCAACAACTGCAACAGATCCAATCCGAGATCTTGTGGGATGAGCATTATAAATGTGGAATTGAACTTCCGTAGGCTCACTCCCATTCGTTAGACATCTTTCCAACCGATTGGTAACGCCCTTTGTCAATCTGTTTGTTTTTCACAGAAACCTTTCAAGAGCTTCATCTATGAATACCAAGGCTGATTCCCCCAGGAACATATGCTCTCCTTCTCCGTTGAGCTTCATGGATGAAGTAAAACACATGACTCTGACTCGTTATGGTTCTTCGTCATATGAGCAAGCAAATGGAGCAATCGTCCCTTCGGATACCGTGCTGAGGAATGCATCGTATATTGAATTTCAATCGAGGCCAATTTTACCCGATGGCCATCTTCTTGACTGCTTTCTGGACGAATGAATCATTGAACTTGCTTACTACGGTTTAATCAGAAGACTTGACTTTTAGCATCCGTGCAGATAGCAATGAACTTTCACCGAAATGATCATAACTCTCTCTTCTGATTGAAAATCAAATTTGAAGCAGCACACAGCATCTGTTTCAGACATCAGAGAAATTCTTAGCTTGTATTGGACACAAGAAGTTTAATTCACATCCATATGTGTTAGGTCGAAATTCGACAATCTCAATAGCTCCGTGCCATCACAGTTGGGTCAACTTCTGAACCCCGGATGAAAAGTTTAGGCCTGAAGCATCTGTCAATTCTGGAATTTTAGGCGATGGTATCAAAATTGGTAATTTAGAGATTAAGCGATGACCTGAACAACACATGCTTCATCTACGGGACGAGATGTTGGAAAATGCAACGTCATAAAACAAACTGTAATCGTGGTGGAATCAATATAGGAAATGGAGTGCGGAGATTGTTGTCAAGCTATTAGACCACTCCCCTTCTCCTTAGTTGCTCTCTCAACCACAATGTTTTCTTTTGGTACTTCTTTTCTTCTGAGTTATTCCCTGTGGGATCGAGTCATCATGTTCTTCTCTGTGCTTCCAGAGGTCAAGATAATGACTGCTTCTTCTCTCTGCAAGCCTTCATCCAATCTTTGACCAAGTGGACTATTTTAGTTGATGTAGCATCCTGAGCATTCCTGCCCTTGTACAAGACGTAAGATTGCTCTTCGCTGGTGATTCAAAAGGAATGCCGCCCATTGTAATGTCTGATATTCCTGGAGATCTTGTCGAGGGGCAGCGGCTGCTGCCAAGGAGGGAACAAATGGGGAGTGAGACAGAGAACCAGAATGCGTTTGTTGTGGTGTACTGCAATTTTGTGGCTGCCATTTTCTGGTAGATGTACTTGTATTTTCTGAAAGAAATTTTTTCAGCTTCTGGAATGTCTACAGCTGTTGCTGGATGTTACCTTTTCGCCAGAAAGAGTCTTTTTTCGTGGGGCTAGAAACTCTTGACTGGCAAAGATAGCTGTTTGGTATGTCCACGGACAGATTACAACGAATGTTCTCGAAATTTTTGCCCTGGCTCAGAGGAAGAGCCCTCAGATCTCATACCACGCAGCAGGGGCATGAGCTGTTTCGTGTATTTGTCGTTCAAAAGAGGAGTTCCAATTAAAGGCCATGGAGATGGAGCGGACGGATGGTAAGAAGGGCTGTGCAAAGATTATGCATATTTTCATCTTTCGTTCTTTGGGCTTGTTAGCTCTTCATAACACAATGGTCTCCTTGAAGAGACCAGAGACTTCGCGTATTTTCATCTCTTTCATTCCTTCTGCTTGCTTTTCACACTCATCATGGCGTCTACTTGAAGACGCCGTTGGAGATGACCCCTGCAAATTTTGTGGTTTGCTACACGGGGTAGATTCTACTGCTTGGAAAACCAATTCCCTACAATACCATAAATCTGCTCTTTTTTGGAGGATTTTAGCTCTCATCGACTTCCACCTTGTTTGGCGTAGTGATGTGTATTTCACTAAAAACCATAGATTGCATCAACTTCCTAATCAACCATAGATTGTACATCAAAATTGTGTTAAAAAACTTTAACTATGTGTTGACATAATTCCACAAGAGTCAAAACATTTTTTTTCTTTATAATAATAATAAGTATTGTGAATTCTCTAGTATTTTCTCTTTCTTTGGTTTACCTATCAAGTTGAGTATAAACAGTGATAATTACTAGTTTTAATTTAAATGAATAAAAAAAATTTAATAATAGAGTGATTATAGATTTAATCGATTATTATAACTTTGCTCAATATGTGATTTACAACAATTACATGTATATAAACCTGACAAATTTGTGCTGCAGTCATTATTTTTTCAGTAGGTTTTTTGTGAAGCACCTTACTTAACTTATTCACAACATTTAACATTACATCTCGTCAAACAAAAATTTCTTTTACAATATAGATCTATATCTTATCACTGATTTGTAAAATTATAAGATTGTAATGAACTAAAAGAACTAAGTCATCATCTACATTTTGTATTTTTCAACTTGAGTAAACATCAATTTTTCCATTTTTTAATGACTTCTCTATGTATTTCAAACATTTATAATATATATTTCTTTCCCCAAAAATTTACAAATTCTTAACGAATTGAAAAACAAATCATACATGTGATACAATTTTTGTAACATGTACTCTATGTTTCTCATTCTTTAGCATGATCATCAGATTGAGCATAATTGATAATTTACATAACTAGGTTTGTTTTGGATAATTTTGGCAAATGTATTCCAATATAACCTATTCAAATGGATAAATCTATGATTGATTACAAATATGCTTGATTTTTAATAATCTATTGCTATCTACATATAATTTAGCAAGTTATTGTGTTGTTAAAGATCAATTGTGTATCATATTTTTTAGTTCATGCATAAAAATTTCAAATGAATAATTATTCAAATAAGTGAATTTTATTCATATATCATATTAATGATCAAATATTTATTTTGTATATGAGACACTACGCTCACAATAATTCATTACATATCTTGTGCTTATTTTATTTATAATCTACATAACTTGACATGTAAATTATCACAAGTTTACACATATTTGCATAATGACTACAAAAAATTGTAAATGTTTTCATTTGTCAACATTTAATACATGTTTTAATTGTGCAATAATTTTTTTGAATTTTTGCTACATTGGATTGATTAACAAAATTGGTAATGAGTGACTTTTTTGCTTTATTTAATACATTGTTATATTTTCTTATATTGCATAAATCGACAAAAAATTGTCAACTCCAAATTTTTTTGTTGAATTTTTTTTTATTTCTCACTTGTTTATTTTGAAATTTATTTATTAAAATATTATTTCTTGCTTTAAATAAGTTAAAATTTAACTCTCATGGAATAAATGTGAATTTTCAGTCAAAAATTTTCATTTCTTTTAAAATTTTAAAAAACATGAAATATTGTTTGATAAGCCCTCAAAATTTTTGAGTTTATATTTCAAGTTCATTTGCAACAATGTTAATTTATTTAATGTATCACAAATCAATATGTCAAAATCCATAAAGAAAATATATCATGAAATTTATAAATAATTGTTTAAAATAATCTACAATATCACATATATATGGAATGACATTCAAAAGTTAATTGCAAGAAATTTGATAAAGAGATTAATCTTATTATTGATGATATATTTACTATAGGGAGCAGCTAGTTATCCCTCAGTTTATGCTAATTATACTTCACCCTACTATAGTCTACATAAGAAAGATTTTGACTAAGGGCTGCCAACATGTTTGCTATATATCTTTGGGGGTCTTGACATTTTTCTATAATTCTGCAAATAGATTTTATGACTCTATCGCTTTTCATCTCATCGTGCATAGAATCAAACGAAGGCGAGGGTCGAGACAAATTGAATCGATAGGTGCTAGCTACAAGACTGTCAAGAGGACGAAGAGTATACCGCGCAACCTCGAGTACCATGGTCCAATTTATCGAGCAAAAGGTGCACGACCGATCGATGCGCATTTCACAGTCCGTCATAAACTCTAGCACTCACAACCTTGTAGTGAATGAATGACCTCGGCGGGGAGTTGCTATGTGCAACATCAACATGGTCGTGAGTGCCACTGGTAGGGGGAAGGAATTCCTCAACGTCGTTGACGAGCGCTGAGGACGAAAGACTCCGAGTTTCACATTTGCGGAAAAAATAAGATTTCATCCATAGCCCTCAATAAATCCTGGCCAGCATATGTATTCTCGAAGGTACTCTTGTACCGAAGCACTATCATTCATCTATTTAATATATCCACTATGACCGATGACAGAGGTTTTTTGTGTGTAGAGTGAGGGATAATTAGCCTAAACCATTGGATAACTATGCCCTTTCTTGTTATATTAGTTAGATTATATTTCTAGATAGATAATAATCATTTTGAAATTTAAATTTTATATCAATATATCCAAACATCAATTTATATCTAGTTATTTCAAATTTATCATAATAAAAAATAATATGATAGTGATACAAAGTCAACATTGTAAAGTATTAGATGATCAATTGATTATTTTAGACATTCACAAGTCATAAGTGTTTTTCAATCAATGAAAAAATAATGTTATATTTGCATTTTAATCTTTCACCTTTGTTATAGTCAATGATTGATTACGAATCATTGTTCTTTTCGTACTACTCGTCAAGTTTTTTAAGTCCTATTTTCAAAAAATAATCTCAAAACACAAAATGTACAATCAAACATTGCTTAAATAATTTTTTTAAGAATAGAAAACATTATTACCACCATAATTCATGTAGTATTCTCATCATTTTCTATTCCATCAATTGTGTAAGCTAACATCTATCTTCTCCCTCTTTATTTATTCTGATGTGTTATTGTGAACATTATTTCTTTATACTAATTTTCAAACCGCTCTTGTTATGCATTCTTGTCATTTCTAACATCACAACAATTTTTCTTGCTTTTAATTTTACATCCAACAAATTTTATTACTTTGTCATGTGTTAATAATTTAGTTAAATTACATTACCAATTAGACTTTTGAAGCTTTTGAAAATAATTTTTTATCTTTATTTTACTACATATAATCATTATAATCTGTTTGTAGTAAATGGTAGATTCTAAATTCTTAGTAAATTCTAATATTGATCACAAAAGCTTGTTTTGAAAGAGATTTATCACCTCAATAATTCAACAGAGATGGTTACATGTTACTTTATGATAAGTAAAACAACGACCTTGTAAATA